CCGTCGTCCTCCCCTCCCCCTCCCCCTCCCCCCACGCTCCACTTCATCTCTCCGTCAAAGTCTCCTTCCCTCCTCAACCCTCCTCACCTTGGCGTCATCGGACACATGGTCCCAGTAGGGGCTGGGGAAGTTGAACTTCCCACGGCAGATCGAGCTGAACTTCTTCCTCAGCGTGTCCTGCCCGAAGGGAGCGAACCCGCACAGCAGCACGTACAGGATGCACCCGCAGCTCCACACGTCGCACTCCTTCCCGTACCCTGAGCGGCCCAGCACCTCCGGAGCTACGTAGTCCGGCGACCCGCACTTGCTCCACATCCGGGCCCGTCCGGCCTCGAGCTCTTCGATGTCGGACTTGAGGCTGAGCCCGAAGTCACAGATCTTGAGAGGAGAGTCCGGGTCCGGGCTGGCGTACAGGACGTTCTCCGGCTTGAGGTCCCTGTGAACGATGCCGATCTGATGAAGGTACTTGACCGCGCTGATAATCTGCAGGAAGCAGTCGGCTGCCTCTGTCTCCGAGTAGTGCTCCTTCGCCACGATGCGGTCCAGCAGCTGCCCTCCTGTCACCGGCTCCATGACGATGTGGAAGTGGCTCCTGGACTCGTAGCACGCGAACATCCTCACGACGTTGGGGTGATCTACGTCTTTCATGATATCGATCTCCCGCTGAATCAGGTGAGTCTCCAGTCCCCCGTTGTCTCCCACCTTGGAGATCACCTTCACTGCCACCTCCTCTCCCGTCCATCGATCCGTCGCCTTTCTCACCACCCCATAGTGCCCCCGCCCATACTCGCTTGCCTGCAGGATGTAATCCTTGTGAATACCACTCTGAGTGAGAGATATCATGTAGTTGATCGCTGCCCTGATCCTCACCGCAGGGAGTTTCCTGCGGGACAACATGGGCTGCTCTCCTGCCTTTGCAGAGATCATCTCTTCCTCTCTCGACTCGCATGAGATTCTGCCCTGGCAGCTATTCGTGTCCGAATGACGCCTCTCCGTTTCATCCTGCGACCTCCTCTCCTCTTGCGAAACCTCATGGCAGACACCCTCTCCTGTGCAGTCCGAGTCTTCTCTGCGCTTCAAGATGGCGGAAACAGCCGCAGAGGAAGCGCGTATGAAGTCCTTTGCTGCCGAGCCTGCCTTCTCCTTCGCTTGTTGCATAGACTGTGAATATGAAAGTTTGTACCTCATAACATCTACAAGCCTCACCGTTTGTGAGACAAGAATAACCAATATAACCTAAAGCTGAAAAGACAAGATGTCAGACTTTCCTCAGCATGGGGAGATGAAGTGAAGGATTTTCCCTGCAAAGCAGCAGGGAAAATTGCTTTGCAGGGAAAATTTTCACAATCCGACATTGTGGGCAACTTCCTCACTCTAATCAACATCGTGTAAAATGCATCGCTCAAATGATTACAATGGTGGAGTCACTTCTCGGGAACCTCATTATCCCGCCAGAAATTGAGAGCATCAAGCTAGAGCAGTGAGAAGATCAAAGGCAAGTGCTCGCAACCATCTACCGTCGTCAATGTTTCAGGAGCGGTCGTTAGCAAAAGAGGGGTGATATAAAAAACAGTGAGGGTAAGTTGAGAAGGAAGCGAACACGGAGCAAGCATGAAGGGGTTGAGTGGATCAGGCAGGAAGGCAGGCGGGAAGGAGAGCATTGCTACAGCAATGGCGTTTGGGAACGGAAGGGGAGGACGCATGAACGAAGAGCGGTACGTTGTTTGTATTAAAAGTATATTATTGGTTTCATTTTTAGAAACCAAATAAACGAAAAGAGGCTTCTTGAGATTTACATTTTCCTACAAATGATTGTCAGCAGAGTAAAGCACGACGTAAGCAGGATATTGTGGGGGTAGGGTGATGCGAGATTCGATGCAGTTGGGAGTGAGGTACTGATTCAGGGAGGTCAGAGAGCTTCTAGTGCCTTTTTACTTATAGACGTTCCTATAAAATTCGAATTCTTCAGGGTATGCCCAGCACGAACCCCGGATATTTGCGACATGTCCACCTTGGGTGAGCAGTGCAAAAAAAGAAATGGTCAGCAAACGGACCACACAGGCACTAGGAGTCAGAGTCGGATGTCCTGTGTGAGAGCAGGGTAGCGATGATGTTGTATATTTGATAGTAGATCAATTGGAAGATTTCTTACCTTGAGGTATGATTGAAAGAGCTCACTCGGCCGTTCAAATCGAGATGCATGGAAACAGACCCCACCCTCCTCGAAACCAGCCACTCTTCCGCCTGCCCACTGCATGAAACAATCATTGAAAGGGGGTCCATAGATGGAGGATCTTTCTCTTGCCCCTCAATGTCAGAGCCACACCCCCATTAGAGTCTATCCCAGGGGGTGCCGACATAAAGAACCCTACCCATTTGTGGCCATAGTGTATTTGCACCTCTGAATCTGTCAAACCCATCGGTTCAACATTATGGGACGTTTATATATATGTATAAATTATAAGTATATTAAGCGATCAGCAACTTTGCACGCGCTGTCTGAAACTCCTTTACCTCGAGGAGTTCTCTTGTACGTTACAGTTTAGGTTATTTTCCGTTACATTCAGGACATTCCGTTACTGTGTCTCTTGAGAAGGCGACCATGTCGGGCAGGCGACTGGGAGGAGGAGGAGGGGGAGCAGCGTTGGCGACAGGGCTGACCTGCATGGCGAGCGTGCTCGCTCTCATGGTCTTGATCTCCTCGCCCCAGAGGAAGGCTGAGCTGGCGGAGAAGAGTGCGCAGCAGCCTGCGATTTCCACAGCGCAGTTGTACGCATCCATGCACCCACAATTCAAGAAGTGTGCTGGGCAGGAAGACATGTCCAAGTTCAGTGAGCTCATCAGGGATAAGTGTGGAAACCTGAAGCAGAGCTCTTCATGTGGAAAAGAATGCGCCGTCGCCATGCGGCAGAAGGCCGAAGCCTTTGGATGCTGCTGGCCAACCCTGATGGCTGGATACAAGGCATTAGACAAGGAAGCAGGACATGCCTGGACTAGCTGGGAGCAGTCGCTCAGTGAGAAGTGTGGAGTGACGTTCGAGGGAGCGACGTGCAAGTCAGAGGAGGGGAAGTCGGAGCTGTCGCAGGTGGAAGCAGAGGTGTCCAGCCTGCAACGCAAAGAGGCGCGTGACAACAAGCTGATCCAGGATCTGCTGAAGCAGCTCAAGGGGAGCAAGCAGCAGTCAAACGCTTGTGTCCTCGATGGGTCTCAGCTGCGATGTGGCGCTACAACCATCGCTCTCTCCAGGCTCCCCCTCCCTCACGCTGGAAGTCGCCAGCCCGGGGCTTTGTCAGGGCAGCCCGACATCTATTCATGGATGCCGAACCAAATTGCTCCGGTCGACCAGCAGGAGGTGTCAGCGCCGACTAAGGCCATCTTTCCTCCTAAGATCTTCGGCGAGCCTCACGATGCGCACTTGCAAGCAGAGCAGATGAAAGTTCGAACAGCCAGCAAGAATCGATTCAGCAGGCATTCTTCCTCTGCACACCAGCTGGCTATGAAGGACGCGCATTCACAGCAAGCAAAGAAGGACAACATGAGCTTTCTCAACATCCTTAGCGACGCCTGGCCCTGGCAACGAGGTTCAGCATCACTAGCGTTGCCGCCATTACACCCCCTCTAACTTCTCACTCAGGCGCTTTCAAGGATGTGCAGCAACCGGTTCGTCTTCGCCCACACAAGTTCAGCAACCAAGTGTTTGGGGACAATACTGCCAAGCTGCGCAACGCCATCCCCCTCGCCCCTTCTCCTTTCCCGGACGCGCCAGCGGTCCCCGAGAGACAAGTGAGGCCGGCAGGGCAGGAGGGAATCGTGTGGGGCAGCTCGCACAGGTGGCGACGAAACATTTTCTAATGGACGCTGACGTGACTGCTAGTTGGGGACCGTCAGACAATCGCATGAAGCTCGAGCAGCGAACGTCTCGCAGGCCAATCTTGAACTTGGGATCCAATTCTCCCTGGTCGAAGGAGGCAGGACTGTCGAGACCTCACGACCCTGCGGCTCGACGGCTTGCGCGGGCAGGCGTGAATGTGAACGGAGGATTGCAGGTATGAACTAGAATAGGATGAATGTGAAGATGTAATATGACTCGATCAGCAGAGTTGGATGCCCATCTGAAGGACGCTTGAAGAATATTGAAAAAGGGTGCTTGTTTGATATCTTAAAGGTTGCTTAGAAGTACAAGAAGCGTAGCAAAAGATTGTCCTTGACTATTTTCTTTTCTTGACAAGCACGACATCTTCGTCTTCGTCATCTTGATCGTCCTCTTCCTCGCTCTGCATGGCATGTCAAGCTGCAATGATCACGATATTCCATAAAGCTTGTCTCACATCCGAGTGGTGCCTTGGCGACGCCTCCTTACCACTATCAGACCCGTCAAGGTCTTCTTGGTTGTCCTGTGTAAATGATAAGAGTGGGCACTGGAACTTTTGACCGAATTGATGAAAGTGAGACAAGAATTGAGGAAGAAAACTGTCCAACATTGAGCTAGGTGCAATGAAGAGGAAGAGATGAAACAAGTGGTTTCACCTGCTGAAGATACTTCTGATCCAACGCTAAAGTTGTCGCCTGAAGGATGGGCTTGCCGACGTAGAAGGAGAACAGCACCCCAATACTCTAAGAAGCACAAGATCAGCCAGGGGTGAACAAGAAAAAATGCACACCAAGAGGACAGTGTATAAGATGATCTGCTTCTCCACCGAGAGGTTGTCCACGAAATCAAAGACGACCTGAAAGCAACGTGACCATGCTATGTGGTCTATCAGCCACTACAAAACGAACCTGAGTGAAAGACACACGATCGGGAACCAACTTGGAGGTGAGGGCATTCTCGCCTCCGTCTACATGTCCCTCGACCACGTTTGAACCTTCTCCCTTTGTCGCAATTTGCTTGATCAGGCTGGTCAAAGATGTTTCATCCTCAGAACTGGCCTTCTCCAAGATCCAGTAACGAATTTTCTTCTCCCCGGACTCAACAGCGCCGTCGCCTTCTCTGTGGAGCAAGAGGACGTCGCCCTTTTTGACTTTTCCAAACGAAGACAGGACGGGGGACTGCAGGGAAGACTCGATCGCAGCAACAGAGACGTTCAATCCTGCAGGCTTCACGGCATTCTTCACCTTCACTAGGACCCTTGCAGAGGCGAACGGCTTCTCGCCATCTCCAATCACCTTCACAGCACACCAGGAGCTCTCGCACACATTGTGGAAGTTGCCGGCAATCAGTCTGGGGCAGAAGAGATAGCGACTGTCGTTCAGCTTCTTCATCATCTCTTTCTTTGACAGTCTGCCTGAGATCATCGCTGGCTCGTCCGAGACCTCGTCGCCCCGGAATAAGAGAACAGCAGGGGGCTTGATACCTTCCCAGGCCGATTGCCCCACAGACAATTTGGAAGTGATCGCCAATGCGAGGTGAGGATGAAACTTTGAGGCTGCAGCAATGAACGAAACCTGCTCCAGGCTGCCTGCCTTGCCGACAAACACCGCACGAACCTTGTTCCTGTTGTCGCTCACAAACGTCTTGAGGTCCCTAGCATCCTTCAACTCCTTCACCTTAAACCGCTCTCTCATCGCTTGCGCCACAAACTTGATAAGACCATCGACCGAGACGTCATGGAACTGAAACCTCACTCGTCGAACTTCAGTCGCTCCGTCCCAGATCGCGATGGATGGGACAGTGTCCTTGCTGCCCATCAGCCTTGACCCCAGCCCCTTGTCTCGGCCCAGGTTCACTCGTCCTACCGAGATCACGCCGTCGAGACGAGAAGCAACTTCCTCCCACACAGGCGCATAATGCTGGCAGAATTCATTCCAATCCACATAGACTTGGATAAGCCAGATGTCCCCTGACTTCACCAGCTCGTGATAGTTTGAGGTTGTGATCGAGACGGTGTTCGACTTGATCGCAGATTCCATCAGCTTCTGCTCCTTGTCATAGATCTTCCTCTTCATGGGGTCCGAGAGAACTTCATACGCTCTAGCGACTCTCTGGAACTTCAGCTGGCATTCCTCGCAATTGGGATTCTTGTCCGGGTGCCATTTCATGGCGAGTTTGTGGTAGGCTTTCTTCACATCCTTGTCGGAGGAAGTCTTCTTGATCTCTAACACCTCATAGAGATCCTGGCCATCCAAGAGGTCGTCCTGCTTCGCCTTTCCCTTGCCATCATCATATCCCACCCGAATGAGAAGAAGGAAAACGCAGATTCCCCCGAACCACAAGAGGTGCTTCTGGTCGAAGAACACCTCTGTGTTCTTCTTCTCTGACTTGCTCTTCTTCTTCTGGCTTGTCTCACCTGTAAAACATCATCAGTTTCCACGTTTCTCTATCTGAATATCATCAAATAAATCGACATATGTCAACCATTGAGAATCGTTCCTCTGTAACGAGGCCGTTTCAGCCAGTAGACAGAATGTGAGAGCCTCATAGAGATGATATAACCATCACACTCCTCCTCCTCCTCCTCTCCTTGTATCCAGTGTGTTCTCGTTTCCTCCTCCTCCCCCCCCTTCCTCCTCCTCCTCCTCCTCCCCACAGTTTCCTACTCTTGACGAAGCTTACCTTCCGCCATCCCGAGTGCAACACTCTTCCACCACCCCCACCCCTCAATTTTAACATCACCACCCTTTCTGCAACCCTGTTTGTACCCCTACCTGTGACCAACCGGTACAAGTTGTTTGACCCCCAATTGTAACCCCCATTTCTCGTCAACAGAACGCTAATCGTACCCGTGATCATCACCCCTTACCCCCTATTTCAAACTCGCCCCCACTTCAATCTGCTACCCTACCCTACCCCTGACGAATTCATCTAACCCCACCCCCCCATTTTAGATCGAGTGAACGCATGCGGTCGGCTGAAGTCTCTAGGGCTGAGGTAGTAGTACATTGCTGCCCTCCATAGAATCAAAAGAAGGGGTACTTTATCAGAGGGATGGAGGGGTAGTGGTTAAGGAATAGGGCCTGTGCGGCAGTTCGCGATGATCCGGCATGGCTGGCTATGACGAGGTAGATCAGCAAGGAGGAGGCGAAGAGCATGGCAGCTTGCCGGCTGCAGGCGCGAACAATGCGCGCCATGTTTGATCCTTGCCGAACCCTTGGACTTTCCATGCAGTTCGAGTGAGCGAAACCCGCGGCATGCCAGGAGCGAGGATGCGACGTTTCCTTCTCCTGCCGCGCTCGCTCGCCTGCCTGCTGCTCATCATCATTGACGTGCGTGTTGCTGCTTCAGGGAACTTCATAGCAGCATCCATTTCATGGCGGCAAACTCAAGGAACAACATCAGTTGACTTCGAGATATGGAGCGCTTGGCGACGTTCTTTCGAATGGCCTTGTCGCCGTTGCGATCCAGTCTGCAACCAATGCAGCTCTCCGTCTGTTGGAGATGCTGTCTTGCTTTCCGGCACGACAGCTGATGTCCAGGCATCTAGTGTTGCCATCGCCTCGCTCTTCGATCCAGGTTCGTCGTGTTCACTTGTCGCAAACCTGCACATTGTTGGTGATGTTGAAATCTTTGGCAGGTGACGGGTCCTCGCAATACGGGATGACGATACAAGTGGAGTCAGTGGACGTGGAGAACGACTGGTTCCTAGGAGTCACGAGGATCTCGCACAAGTACTCGGGCGAGTTCAAAGCTTGCAACGTGTTCTACCCCCCTGGTCACTACGTCGGCCAACCCTGTAGGACGACGCCATGGGTTGCATCTCTGCAGGGTTGTTGCAAGAACGGGACAGCAAGCAGCTACAAGGTTAGCACGAGCATCGATCTCTCGGACTACATCGGGTCACCTCGCATCGTCATCTTTCCCGTGTTGTACATCAACGTCAGCAACACCAGCCCCCTCACCGTCTGCAGTCTGAATCGAGGAAACTTGGTATCAAGAAGCAGTGGGACGATCTTTTGGACTGCCGACGACAATTATCCTGCAAACTACACCTGGCAAGTGTCTAGCGAGAATGAGACGCGCGTCGCTGGAACGGTTTCGTTGGGGCAAGACCATCTCAACTCTCAGTGTACACTAGTTGCCTTTGAGAACTTTGAGGTCGGCGACTTCGGTTTCGTCACCTTTCGAGTGAGTTACGGGAACTCCTGGACTGAAGCGACGAGCATGTTCATGGCGAAGGGACCCGACGTGATCGTTTCAAGGCAGCCCAGCAAGCACTCGGCCTACACTTGTGCACCTGGCAATCTTTGCACCCTCGACCTAACGATAGGGAAGAACTTTCCTCTTTACCCCATGTCAGTTTCTAGCTATGCCCAGACGTTTTCGTACGAGAACAAGGCGGACGACATGGAGGTGCTGTCGTTGCGGTACATGATCGCTACGGAATCTCAGCAGAGCACGTTGCAGTCTACCAACACAGGGTACGAGCCTTACAACTTCGTTGAAAGTCACAGCGACCGTGCAGTCATACCCTCGTTGAGCATGCACTCTGTCAGTCCTGAAGGAGATTACATCACGGCCATCGACGTTTTCTATCAGACCAAGTTCTTTGGTTCTCGTCCCTCTAGCTTTTACCTCCCCATCTCCTACCAGGCGATAGACCACAGCCAGTCTCAGCCAGTCCCCATGGGCTGGATCTCGTCAGCCCCGGTCGAAACTTATGACTGGGTACAAGGGAAAGATGTGCAAGGAAGTTTGGACGTCTCGGTAATCTTTGAGAAGCTGCACACACAAGACTACGAGACCTTCGAGTCGAACTCGGTCCCTGACTCGTTCCAGGCCATTACCGACATTGTTCTTGTCAACAATACCCAGAGGCTGGACCAATACTTCAGCCAAGGATACATCTTGAACAAAACAGCTTGCTGAAGGCTGACTTCACGAAGACGGGCATCGCAGTGTTCATTATGTACAGGAAGGGCCAGGGCCCGCCCATCACTGACATCACTCCTAATAACATCTCAGGATATACACCAGTGAGTCGGGAGATGAGCTGCTCTGAGCGACCCCTGACACGTTTGTGCTAGATATCTGCCATCGTCTCCAACTTCTCCGTTACTCTCTACTACCTGAGGCAGCCGTACGGAAATCTCTCGAAGCAAATCTTCTGGCGGCCTTGCGTGGGGGAGAACAAGACTGCTGTTGTCTGCGCAAACGTGATGGCGACCCGTAAGTCAAGTTTGCCCTCTTGTCATGAGGTGACCCCCACTTGATGCCCGATAGACTATGGGAGCGCCATGCAGTGCGTGCTTGTGAACGTACGTTACACCCTTCCTCCTACTGTTACAAGCCCACAAGTGATCCATCAGGCTACCATGGGCAAGCAGGTAGAGACGTTGACTTCTCTTTCCTCCTGGTGTGAGTTTGCCTTGCAGCTCTCTGTTCCCATCGCGGTCCGAAGGAACGATCCACCGTTCTATGCGAGCATGCCGGTGCCATCCATCAGCATTTCTCAGATCAGGTACCTTCCCTTGCATGCTCCCTTCCAGTGACGTGGCCTTCTGCTAGAGGAACAAGTTTGTTTCCCGATGAGGAGATCTTGGGTGATCACAACTGGAAGACCAGCCGAACAGGTTTGATTCTCATCGGAGCCGACATGCAAACCCTCGGGAGCTTCACCAAGGATGTCAACCTACAGCTGTCCAACATCGCAGACTCTCAAGGATTCCTCTTGTGGACTCCAAACTACTTCCACGGAGGATGGGTCGGTGAAGTATGCCTCCAGAGCTGCGTTGAGTCAAGCCCTTGTCCGGGAACCTCCCACATGCCGGTGCCGCACTGTCAGAGCCACTGCATCCAAGTCCAGGTCCAGCGATGCATCTGGTACCTCCAACCCAGCGACTCCATCGTGAGCATAGCAACACGCTTCAAGACAAACTGGCTGCAGGTAACCAACCCTCGTGCTCTCCTCCTCGTTCCTGGAAGATCGCCTCCTCACTCTCTGATGCTTTTCTGGCAGATCTGGAGCCTAAACCCTCATGTTCGGGACCCTAGTGCGATCCAGCAGGTAGGCGAGAACGGGATCTCCCGCACAGCCAACGTTGGGCACTTGTACCGGCCCCAGTGGCAAGAGACAGTGAGTGACTTCTGAGCTGCGCTTGGGGTCCTGACGGCCTGCCAGCTCTACGGCATCGCGTCCGCCTTCAAGATCCCAGCTGACCGCATCCTCGACATGAACTCTGACCTCAACTTCACGCTGACGGCTCGCCTTGGATACTTCGAGATGACAGAGCCGCTGCCGCCCATGGTTGCCGCTGCTCCCTGCCTGCCTTTCCGGTCGGTGATCCGTCTTTTTCGCAGGACATATGTATTTTACCGGATTCTTGCAACCTTTGATGACTCCAAGAGGATGCAAACCCCAGTCTCTTGACTCGTGGAGCTGAGCACTCAAGAACGTTGGGCTAGAACTTCAAGTCCATGGATGACAGACCAGGCTTCACGGTCGGAGATGAGAGCTCCAATGTGTAAACCTTCACCCGGAACCCGGAGGAGAGAAGCAGCTGGAAGAATCCTCGACCCAGCGCACTTTCAACCAGAACTGTAATATACTTGTTGTATGGAGGGATGCTTGTGATATACCTTAAACATGACCGTCAGAAGACAAGAGAATATCATCACTGGTCCAACACCTCTGAAGTTGTTCAGCGATCACCGTCATCCCCTCTTTGGCTTGAGCTTTGCACTCACATTCAAGATCACATTCCCGTCCTACCTCACGAGAGCTGCTGGTTCTCCCAGCATCCTCAGACATACTCTGGGTGTACACCTTCGCCCCTGTCCTGTTCTGACATCGAGTGCCACAGAGCGCTTTGTACGCAGAGATGAGCTTCTTCATGAGTTTCCTCCTGATGGATCTTGGTCTCGGTGCCAGCGCTGCTGAGGGAGAGCAAAGTGAGCAGAGCGGCACCAGCACCCTCGCCCCTCACATCCTCTGGTGCTGTTGTAACCTCCGCCCCGCTGGCCTGTTGCTTGCTGGCAAGTTCAAGGTTTCACTGGAGGAGATCTTGGATGTCTCGTTCCTTACCGTGAGAGCAGAGGCGTTGCTCGAGAGAGCAGAGGCGTTGCTCGAGAGCATCCTGGCAAGATCAACAGCGTCACAGTAGTTCACCATTGAACTTCACAACCTTCTTTTCACGTCCGACGTCAGCCTGTGTTGAGCACAGCGCAAGTTGAAGCCCGATGATGCATCTCCATACAGAGCGCGTTGGGAGCAGTTGCCGAACGTGCACAGCCGATTCTTGACGTCGACGTCGACAGAGATGTTCATGTGATCTCTGCACCAAAGGGGTCGAGCAATTCCGTACGAGGCTTGCTTCTTGCATTCTGGGTATCGACAAACCTTTGCTGAACTTCTGAAATCTGTTGAGTTGGCCGGCTTGTGGAGAGCGCAGAAGGTTTGACTGTCTGTCTTGAAGGAAGCATACTTGCTGCAGGAAGGCCAGTTGCATCTCTTGGTCATGAGATTGATGTGATGGGGTTGTTTATGCTTCGAACAAGCCTCTGCCACCCTCATTGTCGCGTCCCCGTACGCTTTTCGTTTGTTGCAGCCCGCATGCTTGCAAAGGGCAGCGGGCTTGCTTTTGACATTCAAACAGTCCTGACCTGATCCTAACTGATCAACTGCTTTCAAACTCTTGTCCGTGTTTACGCATGTTATCATGGCGAGAAACTCCAGCAGGATGAAGAAGCTCTGCGATCGCATTCGTGTCCTCTCGCCCAAAGTGGTACCGCATTCAATTATGATGTGCTAGTGGATTTAAATCCTCCGGTCCCGTATGTGCAGACCGTTACTTGCACCGTCCATGTATCTAGACCATCTGTTCCGAATCAATACATGTTGCATTCAAGAACATGTTCGATTTTCTCGGCCCTTTCCTCTTGGAGTTCTTCATGCCCATCCTCTCCTCTCCCCTCATCTTCTTCAGTCCTCTTTCCACTCTTCTCCGTTATCATGAAACGGAATCAGCATCGCCGTTCCTCGCATTGCAGCCCAACGATCCGGCATTGAAGAGCAGATTGAGGCGCATCTGAGATGAGGGGGGATGCGGGGATCATGTCTCTTTCTCTGAGGCAGACTCGTGATGGTGACTCAGCAGGTACTACCCCTGGGAAATGAATCCCTGAGACAAGATAACCCCTCCATTTCTCTGCACAAAAGCAATAAAATATACCGGTAATCACAAAATACCACCGGTGGTAGAATTTCGGGGAACCAGCGCGCATGGTACTGGAGTAGACGGAGGCAACATGTAAGTCTGCGATGAGGAGGAGGAAGTGAAGTGGTGGAGAAGATTTGGAGAAGGAACATGGAGTGGTAGAAGATGATGGGAGAGCGAAGAGGCCGAAGATGGTTGGAGAGATCAACAGAGGGTGTGAGGAGGGAGATGTCAGGTGTGAACAGCTGGTTGGGAATGGAAGAGGATTGAGTAGAAAGAGTCGCACAGGAAGGAGGATACAATCATGTGAAAAGACATGAGCGAGAGAAAAGACATGATTGCATCAGACTGTCTGCAATGGATGCCTGAAGACAGTAGTAGATCTCCCATGTGTGATCTGTCGTGTGATGTGTCTGAGAGTGACGGTCTGCCTCCAAGATGTATGCATGAAAACCTGTTTCCTCTATGCTTCGATGACATGCCTGCCTTTCATGTTTGCCTGGATTCTTAGAAGACACGACCTTGAAAACATCCTGTTTGTTTGCAGTACCTGATCGATCACACATACGTCATCTGCTACATAGCACAACCCGTCCAGACGGGACTTATGGACTTGGAACTGCACTGATAGACAAATCAAACCGCTTCCACTTGGTTCTCGAACTCTGTTGATTACAAGACAGGGCAGCAAGGGGTAGAGCAGCAGCTGCCGCCTCCTCCATGTCGGGCTTCTGGCACAGCGATCACCCTCGGAGGAGCGAGTACAGGCAGCTCAAAGACCCTTCGAATGAGGCCAGCTTCGTCAGCTACAGGGACAATGAAGGCAGACCAGACACGTCGAGGGGAGGACTGCTGGGAGGAAAGTCTCTTGGCTTCTTCAGCTCCATCGTCATCGTCGTCAACAACATCGCTGGCCCAGGCATGCTCGTCCTTCCCAAAGTCTACCAGGTGAGAGATCTTTGTCCACCCCTCCCTCCTGGACTCTTTCCCCTCCCCTTTCTCTTTCACTGCTCTTTCCTCTGTCCCCTTATTCCCTTCCCCTCCTCCCCTCCTCACCTCACCTGTCCTCTCCTCCCCTCCCATCCCCTCCCCTTCTCTCGTCACCTCTCCTCACCTCTCCTCCTGCTTTCCCTCTCCTCGCTTCCCCAACCCTCTAATGTTCTTCTCCTCCTCCCTTCTCCTGAGGTCCTCCCTCCTTCTCATGACTCTCATCGGATCTGATTAGCGGCTTGTGCTCGTGCAGGATGCTGGCTGGTTCGTTCCTACCGTAGTCCTTTTCGTCATCTGCATCGCCTCCTCCCTGGCCGCGATTCTCCTCACAGACGCCATGGCGCGCGTGCCAGGCAACAGCCGCTTCCAGAGGAGGATTGAGTTCGTCAACGTCTTCGAGGAGTTCTGGGGGCACAGGGGGATGCAGCTTGCGCAGGGGATGTTCATAGTGAACATGATGGCGCAGATCTCCTCCTCTATCATCTCAAACGCGCAGGTCATGGACTCCTTCATCGTTTTCCTCAACCCCCGGCACACCACGTACGCCCTCCAGGTCTGGCCGACGCTCGACATCATCAGCTGGTCTCCTCCGCTCAAGGCGATCCTCCAGCCCCCGGTCACCATGGAGCAGTCGGCTGCCTGCCACCAGGGGAAGGTGATCCCCTTCAACGACCCCGAGGAGTCCCGCGCCATCATCTCGCTGGGGTACCTGAGCCTTGCACTGATCCTGATCCCCATGAGCATCATGAACCTGGAGGAAAACATCTTCATCCAGAAGATCTCCTTCTACATGCTCCTCCTCCTCTCCGCTGAGTTCCTCATGCAGTTCTACATGCAGGGCATGGGGAACCACGAGGTCCCGGCCTTCGGGCACGACTACAGCCACGTGCTTGGAAGCATCGTCTTCAACTTCGCCTTCATCGTCGTCGTCCCCTCGTGGGTGAACGAGAAGAAGGCAGAAGTCGGCATCGCCCCCTCTATCTGGATCTCTACCTTCTTCTCCACGATCCTCTACGTGGCAACCGGATGGATGGGCGCCATGGCCTACTACAGAGCGGAGGGCAACTTCCTGAACACGCTCTCCAACGCCTGCTCCCCCACCATCACCCGCGTCAGCGCCTTTCTGTTCGCCTTCGGCATGATCGGGCTGGGCATCCCTTTCATCTGCATCGTCACGCGCTACAGCCTCCTCGTGGGACGAGTCTGCGGGCCGAGGATGAGCCACTTCTGGGCGATCTTCTTTCCGTGGTTGGTCAGTTGGGTCTTTTACGAGGTTAGCCCTCTTGCTCTCTCTCCTCCCTGTCAACAACTTCGCTTTCTTTCTTCCCCCCCCCCCCCCCTCCTCCTCCTCCTCCTCCTCCTCCTCCTCCTCCTCTTGTTCGCCCTTTTCCTCCCTTCCGTCATCAGCTTCTCTGAACCAATTGCCTGTTTCTCGTTCCAATGCTTCTCTCGTCTGCCTGCGTCAAACTTCTGTTTCCTCCATTCCCAGAAACGACTTCTTCGTTGTCCCCTTCAATCCCTCCTCTCCTCCTTCTCTGTTCTTTTCTTCCCCCTTCCTTTCTTGCCCTTCTCCCCTTGCGCTTCCTCAACGTCTCGCAGGGAGGACTCTTCAACGAGCTCATCGCATGGAGCGGAGACCTGGCTCTCGGCCCCATCAACTTCGTCTTCCCCTCCTCATCGCTCTCGCCGCCGTCGGTGTGCGAGGGATGGTTCCTTCCTCTTGGCTACCTCCTCATCAGGTAGAACTGCACTCCTCCGAGCTCGGCACTGCACAGGAGCAGGAGCAGGACACTTCTTGCTTCCTCCAGGCTCTCAAGGTCGCCGACCCGGAGGACGCACATGACAAGGTGAACTTGGAGACGGTCGTTCAGCCGTTCCCCTCCTTCCTGCACAGGTTCTACCGGCCCATCGCCACTTTCTTCGCCATCCTCCTCTCTGTGCTGATTGTCTTCTCCATCGCATCCCACTCCCACTGATACCAAGAACCTCGATCTCCTCCTCCTCCTCCTGCACTGTTTGCTACTTGCTCCTCCTCTTCCTGTTGCTCGTCCTGCTCGTCGTCCTTCCTCCGCTGTCTTTTCTGCTCTTCTTCCTCTTACCGCCCACCCTGTCTCGTTCATATAGCATGGCGAATAAAGTTTTTCACAAGAGATCGACAGGGGAAGGTGCCAGAGAGAGCAGCACAGGCAGGAATGGAGTAGAAGCACGAAAGAGGAGGAAGATTAAGAACAGTTGGACAAGGTGGAGGTGTGAGGAGGAAGGAGGAGGAGGAGGAGGAGGAGGAGGAGGAGGCCTGTTGGAAGGGAGGGTTAAGGTTTCACCTTTCGTTACATTCGGAGCACAAAAGAATATCTACAGGAGGGAGAGTGCCAGGACGTTAGCAGTACAAGTTAGGGCAAGAAGGAGCAGGCATCGGGAATAACACACACGCTCTGTGAAAGCCAGTAAGAACGAGAGTGAGATGAGGGTGAGAAGAAAGAGAAAAGTAGCATTCTCCAAGATGGAGGGGAGGGGAGGAGGAGGGGAGGGGAGGGGGAGGAGGGAGGAGGGAGGAGGAGGAGGAGGAGGAGAGAGCAGGTCCCTGGTGAGGTGACGAGCCGCTTGTCCTATGATCCGTGAAGGAATATTCGCGAGCTAGTATCTTTATGGGGGAATAGAAACGCAGCGATCAGAAACCTCTCTCAGGGTCCTTGCTCCTTCCCCTCCCCTCCCTCCTGCTGCTGACTCATCAGCCTCTCCTTGTCCTGCACCTCTGCCTTCCTCATTCTATTCGTCCTCAGACCTCCTCCGTCAAATCTGTTTCCATCCTTATCCACCTCTCCTCTCCTCCCCGCTGCTTTAGCTCCACTCTTACCGTATCTTCCCATCTCGGTTTGTACAGTCTTCCGATGTTGGTCGTGGACGTGACAGCATCGTACAGCCGCTGAAGGGAGGGGAAGACGCTGTTTGCGGTGAAGGGGTTGAGGTGCCAGAGCTGCAGGAGGAAGAGGAGAAGACGAAAGTGAAGGCAAGGCAGGATGGCAGGAGCAAGAGAAGATACAGGTGAGAGAGATGGAGAGGACAGGGAGAGGAAATAGGGAGAGGAATGGAGAGAGAGAGGAGCAGACGAAAAAAAGTGGAGAGGCGAGAACCAAGCGAAAACACAAGGAGTCAGATCTTCAGAGGACGAGCACATTTTCCCTCCACTTACCAGCAGCCAGTCTGTCTTGAACTTCTTCGCTACCTCCTCGAAGGAATCTTCTTTGCCCAAGTACCACTTGCACTTCTCCACCACCACATGCAAGCATTTCTCGCTACAGTAGTCAGTTGGTGGGGCGTCTACGGGGAAGCAAGTCGAGGGCGAGATGCAGGCGGTCAGGCAGATCGACCCTTGCCATCCGCCCTGAGCTGGCGACGGCGTCCACTGCAGGAACCCTCGGAACCCTCCCTCCACCTGGTCGATTCTCGAGAGTTGGCTGGAAGTCTTGTCTCCTCCCACCTGTAGTCCACCTATTCAGTGAAAGGGCTCGTCAAAGTTTGCAAGGCTACCCATCTCAGCCCTTGGAGGACGCCTGACGAGTTCATCCTTGCTTGGTCTAGGGACTGCCCGGGCCTCGTCAGGTAAGCTGCGAGGCCCATGGAGGGGAAGTCCTCCATGTTAGTAAGAGGAAGATCCATTCTCTGAACATGAAACTCTATCTCCATCATCTTGCCCATCGTCGCCACGTAGGGCTGGCCCGCCATTATCGTCACCTCAGGAGGTTTGCTGCGTACCACCTCCATCTTGACGCACTGCTGCGGCCCTTGCGCCAGCTGGAACAGGTTTGAAGCCGTGCTGTAGAACGAGGAGAAACATAGGACAGTCGAGCTCTCGACTCGCTCGCAAGGCTTCCAGAGCATGTACCGTTCTAGGATCGACTCGTTGTAGAACTTGACGTAGAGGTTGACAGTCCCAACCTTCCCCCCCGGTCCCTGAGTGCTCGCCGTCAGGTTGGTGTAGCCCGCGGTCGGAGTCGCCGTCACGTCCATGATAGGAGAGCCGCTGCCTCTTTTGTACATGATGTATACTTCCCCTGTCTGACTTTGATCCAGCAGGTTCTTGTCCAGCTTGAGGTAACCGATGCTGGTCCAGTGAGGCACTTGAGACGCACTTGCTAGCTGAATGTCCGTGATGGCCGCAAACCGGCTGTAGTCGATGTCGTTCCTCCCGTCTCCTGCAGGCGTTTCCTTCTTGATTAGCAGGCGCACGATCGCACCTCCATTAGGACCATTGAAGTCGCTGTTCGGCACCTCCTGCCAGCCAGCAGGCAACATGCCGTTGGAGAAGTAATCTCTCTGACCACTTGAAATAGGAAGCTGGGACCTTGGGTCTGAGTTGCTCTTACCAGTCAGGTATTGAACATCAAGATCCGTGACAAACATCCCAGTCAAGCTCGCAGAAACAAATCGAGAGCCTGTAGGCAGATCTGCGTTGTCCACCATGCTCAGAGACGTGGTATAATTCATCCCCACTGGTGCAGTAGCCACCAACGCTCCCCTGCTCTGCGATGCAACGACATACCTGCCCTCCAATCTGTTTCCATCACCAACCTCACGCCAATAGAAATCATATGGCAGGAGGAACTTTCCCAACGTTACGTTCACTTCGCAAGCGACGTTGTCGGAGCAGCCGAACAGATGGCGGTTGGAGGAAACGAAGCTGGAGCTTCCATACATTAACAGCGGGTATGTGCCTTGAACCGTAGACGTGCCCATCTTGCACTCTACCGTCAAGTAGTTCGCTGTGCCATTCACTGCAGAGGTATCGGGGATGCTGATGACAACACAGCTCTTGTCTGTGGGCCCAACAATGGAGACGCCCAGGGTACCAGAGACAGTCCAAGAGAACGAAGCAGGTCGATTGTCGTCATGCTGCCAGTTCAGGGTACTTCCTGTCAGCTCCACCTGGGCAGCCTTCCCGCCCACAGGCAACGCACACATGGAGATGGGCCGGGGGGCTGAATCAGCATGAGAGAGGAAAGGCAGCGAGACGATCCTCGCTGAGGTTAGGTGGTTTGTCAGGTCAACTTTGGTCTCAATATAGAATTCAGGGGTCGTTCCATCCTTGTACCACTGTTTGCAGCAGCCAGCAAAGTAGGCTGTCCAGGGATACGTTTGCACAGGCTGCATGATTCCGACCGCTGGGTCCGCAACGTACGAGGTGGGGTAGAAGGGAGACGAGGAGCCGAAGGGTTGTTGGTACGTGTGGGTAATATAGGTGACACCCATCACCCAATCCTCTGGGATGGAGTAGGAGGTGACATCGAACTCAACATCATAACTCGTTCCATCACCTACATCGAGCAGTCAGCATACCTCTGAGCTAAGAAATCTAAGAAATTTCACCCGTGTAGAACTTGATAGTTACGTCCTTGTTGGAATCCGCTGCCCTCGCCAGTCCAACTACGCTCAATCTCTCTCCTATGACAGGCCACCCATCTTCACCATTGAACCCTGTGTCTGTAGGACAAGGCCATCCATACTTTCTTCGCCAAGTGCTCCAGATCTCGAACTGAGCTGTCCTTTCGCTAATTCTCTTCCAAGACACTGAGGCGGAGATGAAGTGACCGTTCACTCCTCTCAGCGAGTTGATCTTGTTCTTGAACTCTGTCGTGGACGTCGGGCATGGCCGAGCTCCATCGACTGCCGCCGCCGCCGCCATCATCAGCATCAACCCCTTCATGACCGCTGGCTGCATGGCCCTCCGCTCCCAACAACCGCGACTCACCCCACCCCTGGGATCTGGTGGTTGGAATGGGGGTGGTGAATAAGGAATGATGAACATACCGGTACCAAGAAGCTAAAAGGTGGGGGTCCATCCACATCCATCAAACCTGATCTTTTTGTTTCAATTTCAAAGACGACCGCCCTCAAATTTGAATTCAATTATCTTTAGATTTTAATTCAGTGACTTGACTTGGAACATCGAACGCTGATACCGTACAGTGTGCCTGAGCAAGTTGGGCCCGGCCCGGCCAGTGGAGCCTCCGAGCTCAGTGCCGCCCGGGGGGCGCCCGGCCGCTCAGCCGCTAACTTGCGGCACTAGAGCCGCACGCGGCTCGGTTACCCGGCGGGGCCGGGCCGCTGAAGGCTGCGCGGCCTGGCGTCACGCCGCCGAAGTTTCGGCCCGGGTGCCAGCGCGCCGCGCCTCCGAGTCCGCCGCAGCTGCGTGACGGTGATCGGACTATCCAACGTCACTGTGACTCGTCACTGTGGTGGCCCGGGCCTCTCGCCTCTCTCAGAGTCTCCTTGATTAGGCGGGGAAGGCCCCGGGCCCCGGGCCCGACTACGGTCACGGTCCGATCAAGAAGACAATCAAACTTTAAGGTAGAGCCTCGGAGGCCGTGTAACCTTGTGAACGGTTAGAAACCGTTGAACCGTCTGGAGGCTTGCTTCAAGGCTTGTTGGAGTAGGGCAACTCCGACTGAGGATCGGACGACGGAGTGCCAACGTGAGTCCCTCTGAGCCTGTAAAGCTGTCCTCTCATATCTCGAGGTTTCGTGACGAAAAGTTCTTTAATGCGTTTCAAAAATTGTACCATTCACGGAATCATTCTCGAAAAGTATTCTTTTGGTCTTCTCTGTAAGCCTCCCTATAATGTTTTTCCTGTGACGGATACAAAAATGCCCTGTAAGGGACCCTGTAAGCCCTTCGTCCTGCTAGCGTGCGAGCATATGAACCCCGCGCCCGTCCTAAATCCGTAACCTGCCCACCTTGACCCCTTCCCACGCGCCTTCCCTGTGCTACAGCTAAGCTGATCTTATCCCTTGACTTGTGCAATCTCGACACGCATCTCCTCCCCTCTGCTCCTTCTCGTGTTCAGTCTCACTCTTAAATCATCGTACCTGGTTCTACTCCTGTCTTTATCTTTTCCTGTTTGATCGATCTCTAAATATAAATCTTTTTTCTAATCCGAGGCTACGGAACAACTTCGTAACAGCGAACTCTTGCACTCTTGGAACTCCTTTGCTCATGAAAGTTTGAGAAACTTGCCGCCATCCTCCCGCGAGTCTTCGATGGATCGGAAAGCTGTCTATCACGAAGTTGCTCAAGCCTGCAAGTTCTGGATCACAGAGGAATCCTTCAATGCATTCTCAGCGGACAAGAAAAGACGATTGATCTGTCTCGCAAATTCCATCAATTTGGTCTTGCGGAGGTCAAAAGAAAGCGACGGAAAATTGCCAGTTTTACCTGGAATTTCAGAGCATTTCAATATCGACGCAATCATTGGTGGAGTGAGCGAATCATGAAGCTGCACAGTCTTGAGGGTTCGAATGCACCTCACTGAACGAGTGTGGTCACTTACCCGATTTTTGATATGATTGTAAAAAGTTACCATCTTTAATCAGACTCGTACCACAATGAGTGACGAGTCAAGACTCGAACGACAACATGAATAATAAACTGAAAATGCCACTGACTCATTTCTTGCATTGAGAATGATCCTGCATCGCATGATCGATCGGATCTTCTTTGATCTCAGCTATTCAAAGTTCTGCCGTGGGTCCTCGCTCAGCCCGGCCTCAGTGATCGGCCGGCTGGCCCGCCATTATGCGGGGCGTCGGAGCCGCCGCTGAGCCGGGCGGCGGCGGCGGCGCGCTCAAGGCTCAGTTGACACAGTGAGTCACCGTCACTGAGTCACGGCAGAGCCAATCGGGTCCGAGTCCGATCAGCCTGGTTCACGAATCTAACTTGAATCCATTCCCGTAAGGGCCTGACCGTACAGGCTTAGTAACCATTTGAATAAAGGACTGGTGATGAGTAAAGATACTAAGTAAAAGACTCGCGGAGTCGTGACTTGTGACCGTGACTCCGAAGGCCGGTCACCGGTGACGGCCCGGCCGGGCGGCCCCCCGTCGGAACTGTCCCGGTCCGAGCCCGGCCTATTTGGCGGCCGGGCCCGGTCCCGGGTCGATCATCGGGTCCGAACTGTATTCTGAGTGCCATACTCTCGCTGTCAGTTGCGAGGTCAGGTCGGGCCGCCGGGAGTGTTTTAACTGACCTGGTGCGCCATGGAGGCGCTGAGAGCGGCGGGAGGGGAAGTGAGAGAAGCTGCTGGCACTAGAGGAGGAGGATGATGATGGAGGCGTGTTTGACAGTGAGGCAGCACTGTGACGAGAAGAAGGAGAGAGGAGAGAAGAGAGACGAGAGACGAGAGACGAGAGACGAGAGAGGAGCGCGGCAGCTGGAGCTCCTGAGTTCGCTTCGATGAACATGCAAACAAGAAAATTCTCCGCCTGCGAGTGAGTCTGAGACCTCATGTCAACGTCGCGTAGTCGTGGCAAGACGGGGCTCGATGAGGTGATCGCTGAGAGGCTGGAGAGGCAGCGCAAGAAGACAAGCAAGCAGCTCTATATCGAGAAGAGCCTGGAAGCTCTCAGCAAGGTAGGCAACCTTGAAAAGATAGAGGCAAGAACCAAGCATGACTTCAGTTACATCCCTGGCCGCTCCACCGCTCCCGAGAACAGCAGGAGCGTGGAGAAACGCAAGCAGGAGATGGCAAAGCTGCAGGCGAAGCAAGCGCGCGCACACATTGACTGGTCGGAGACAGACGACTACGGCAACCTGCTGCTCTCTGCCAGCGCTCACAGCCTGCAGCTGGAAACTCTCCCGCAGACAATCTCGTCAGGACCTGTGTATCCTCGAGGGGTCACGCTGGAGAGCCTGAACCTGGCCGAGGAGAACCTCAAGTACTCCAACAGCAAGACGTTCGAGATCTTAGAGCCGAGCTCCCTGCACGAGCTCGACCGCAGCCGCAGGTTCGTGCGAGACTACAAGTCGCACGAGAACAAGTTCGTGCTGCAAGAGAAGGACCTCGAGCACGAGCTCATCGACGTCGCCTCGGGCGCCATCAAAGATCCCTTCCTGCACTTGAGTCAGGAGCAGGCAACAGACGATGAGATCTTCAGGATCTCTCAGGCCTTCCAGCGGTCGACCAACCCCCAGCTGCTCGACCTGTACGGCAGCTACTTGCAGGCTGGTCCTGCAGTCTTCATGTTCGAGCAGATGCAGAAGGCGATGGCGGGCGGCAACGTGGCCGAGCTTCGCTCGCTCTCCTTCGACTCGAGCACGCTCGGCCCCACCCTCTACTCCCATCTCAGGGGAACCTTCCGCGTCGCCAAGTCGCTGACCTCCCTCAACCTCTCCAACCTCTTCTACCCGATGCGCGACGTCGATGGCGCGCAGCTCGCCAGGGAGCTGTCTTCAACCCGCAGCCTGCAGACGCTCAACGTGTCGGGGAACCTGCTGGGCAAGCAGACGTGCTGGGAGCTGAAGAACTGGCTGCTCTCCAACGACACGCTGAGAGTTCTCAACTTAGAGTGCAACGTGATCGACGACGACGCCATGTTCAACCTGGTGGAGGGGCTGAAGCGAAACTCCAAGATCGCGCTGGAGAGCGTGTACCTGGGGTTCAACCAGATCGATCACTACGCCCTAGGCTCCCTCATGGAGCTCTGCGGTCAAGCGCACAGCAAGCTGAGGCTGCTGGACCTGCGGTCGAACAAGGTGTCTCGCTGCAGCACCGGGAGGGTGAGGGAGGGGCTGAGCCGATCGCCATGCCTGGCTGTCTTGAACTTGGCGGACAACAGACTGAGCGACGTGTCTGAGATCGGGTACGGCCTGCACTGGAACAAGTCGGTGCAAGAAGTCGACCTGTCTCGCAACATGATACAAGATGACACGTTCCAGTGGATGGAGCTGTGGGGCAAGAACGAGGGAAGGATCTACCTGGCAAACTCCAAGGTGCAGCGACTTGATCTGCGAGGGAACAGGCTCGGGGACGTGGCGGGGCTACAGATAATCAAGCACCTGAAGAGGAGGGAGATGTTCAGAACGATGGAGCTGATCCAGCTCGAGGACAACTTCATCGACCCCTCCTGGCAGATGTCATCTCGGCCCTCCTCGACAAGTCGATCCCGTGGGCTATCAGCAAGAGGAGGAGCAAGCGGCTTATCAAGCAGAAGGTCGACAAGACCAGCAAGTACTGGAAGGTCTCTCCTGCTCGACCTCCCTCGGCCCGTCCTGACCCTCTTCCTGCAGGAGCGCGACTGGGAGCAGCTGCAGATGAAGAGGAAGAGGAAGGTGGATGAAGCAGTGCGGCTGCTCAAGAACCGAACGGCTGACGAGGTGAGGGAGGAAGAGGGGAGGGACGGGAGAGGTCTGACTGCTCCTTGCAGGTAGAGATCGATGCTGTGGTGCAGATGCCGTGGGTTTCCAAGGTTCCGATTGGTAGAAAGAGGAGGAGGAGGAGGAGGAGGAGGAGGAGGAGGAGGAGGAGGAGGAGGAGGAGGCTGGGGTTGACTTGTGCTGTAGTCAGGACTATCGCATGGATGGGATCCCAGTACTTCACCGGGTCGAAGCCAGTATGGAAGATTCAGGTGAAGGTGGTGGGAGGCTGCTGGCTCTGCTGAGAGCTGAGACGCAGGAGGAGATACTCTACAGACAGAAAGTCAAGGTGGAGGGAGACATCAAGTGAGATGGCAAGTATTTGCTGCTCCTGCACCTGATGCTTGTTGTTGGCAGGAATCGCAAGAACTTGGTCAAGGGGGTCGAACAGACTTGAGAGGATGCGAGGAGGGAGCCAGAATCTTCATCTCGTTCAAAATTCATTCACTCAAAACAACTCGTCGGAAAATCCTCAAACTCCCACCATCAGGTTACAGGATTCCACGTTGTCCCGCTGCTCTTCCTCTCCCATTCTCATTGCTCTTCATTCATTTGCAAAATCTCCTCCTCACCGCCCTGTCTCTCGATCACCATCCCCTCCTCTCCTCCTGTGACCTCTATCCCGGCTTCTACTTCCATGTCTTGGTCTTTCACATCCTGCTCTTGCCCCTGCTCCTGCTCCCTCACCTGCTCCTGCTCCCTTTCACCTTCTTCCTCCCGGTCCTCCTCCCCTCCACTGGCTCCGCTTTGCCATGACACGCTGCTCTCTGCCGAGTCGCTCTCCTCCACCTTGCGACGGGCCCTCCCCGCTCTCCCACGTGCTGGACCCCCAGATCCTTCACTTGATGAGCTCTTCCTCCTCCTGCCCGCCCTTCCCTTCCTCGGCTTCTCCTCCTCCTCTTCACTCAGCGAACTTTCCTTGTACGAGCCACTCCCTCGTGCCCTCCTGCCTCTCCTCCCCGACCCTTCGGAGTCTGCCTCGCTTTCAGAGATCTCTCCTCTTGTCCTCCTCCTTCCTCTTCTCGTAGAGTACTCTTCCTCTCCGCTCTCTGAGCTCCCTCGTACGATCCTCCTGCTCCTCCTTGCACCCGACCATTCCTCGTCCTCCCCACTTTCGTCGCTCTGTGCTCTGGCTCTACCTCGCGTCCTTCTGCCTTCCTCCTCTCTCACACCACTCTCCACTCTTCTAGTCCTAGTCTTCATCCTCCTGCTGTCGCCTCCTCCTTCATCACTCCCCTCGCTCCCCCCCCTCGAATCGCTCCAGCTTTCTCTCTCTGACTCCGGCTCGCCCGCGCTCTCCGACGCCCCATCCTCCATCTGCCGCAACCGTCAGGCCTCCCCTGCCTTACCCTCCTCTCCCCTCCCCGACATTTTCTGCGTAGTTGACACGTTGCCTCTTCCTTCGTCTCTCCAAGATGTTGGAGCTGGACACCGAAGTCTCCAGCTTGCGCAGCAGCCGCTGCTTCCTCTTCGCCCTCTCCTCCTCCCTCATCTTGCCTCGCTCTGCCCTGGCCCTGCACAAGAATCTCAGCAGGCGGCTGCAGCCATCTCCGTCCTACTCCAAGATCCTCTTCTTCTCTTGCAGGCGGAAGACCTTGTCCTCCATCGACTTGGCGACGCTGAGCATGAGCGGGTGAGGCATCAAGAAACATCCCACAGGCACAGGCAGACCTCAAGAGCTCCTCTCCTCCTCTCCTGCTCAGCTCCTCCTTCAGCCCCTGCTCTCAGTCAACATCAGAGCACATCCGGAGATAAATCTCTCTCCTCCGTCCTCAGCTAACTTCCCCCTCCACCCTTCTCATCCAACTCTCTTCCTCCTGCTCCCCTTCCTCGTCCACCTCCTCACCACAAGGCCGTCTTCATCAACACAGAGCGTGCTCCATCGGACATGAGGGTCGGAATTCTTCGGAAAGACGTTCTGCCTTCCCTTCTCTTCCTTCTTGACCTTCATCTCCATCTTCTCCATCTTCTCCCTCCCGTAGCCCGTAAGCTTGCCCCTCTTGTCTGCGCATCGTTATCCTCGCACTCCTCCTCCTCCTCAACCTCCTCCTCACCATAACAATTTGAAAAGTCGAACTGGTCCAGATAATCACTCGCGTTGATAGATCGCAAGTTCAGCAGTCGGTGGACCTCCGAGAGGCTTCTCAGCACGCAGCTTGTCCTCGACGACCTCCCCCCTTCCTCCTCCTTCCACACGTAGTGCACGTCGAACTCCCTCCTCCCTGTCTTCGCCCTTATCGGCCGCCTCACCACCACCCGCTGGAACAAGAGCTTCCCCACCGTCATCGAGACTTTCACCCTCGCAAGCTTCTGCTCCACCCCAGGAACAACTCTCCTCCTCCCCTTCGCCTTCTGCCCTCCCGTCCGGTCGCATCCGGGGCAGGACCAGGTACCATGGGGGATACGCTTGAGGGGAGGGTCGAGGCAGTAGATGTGGTATCCGTCGTCACAGTCGTCGCAGAGCAGCAGGCGAGAAGCGTCTCCAGGGCTCTGGCACACGCAGCACTCCACGTTTGCATCCTCTTCCTCGAAGAATGTCCCATGGCTCGACACTGAACTAGCGTCGTCCGCCTCTTCCTCCATCCCGTTCACCTCTCCTCCTCCTGTTGCTGCTGCTGCTGCTGCTGCTGCTGCTTCTCCTCCTCCATGGCCCCTCAAGCAACAGCCTCTGAACACAAAGCAGTTACATCCCTCGGGAGCCTCCCCACCAAGGTCCCAGTAGCCGCCTCCTGCTGAATCCCTTGCCATGACCGTCGGTCTCAATCGTTCGCTGACTCCTCCTGCACCCTTCACTGTGATCGCCTCCGGCTCGTCGCACCCCGACACGTCGCTCTCGACGTCGTCGTCCAGCCTCTTCACCTGCTCCATCAAGTCGCCCTTCCCCTCCAGCTTCTCGCAGCAGAGCAGCAGAAGAAGCTCGACCTTCTGCTCGGGGCTCAGAAAGTTGTACGTCGAGCCCCCAGCACAATTCTCGTCCTCCTTCAGCTCGAACGTCCTCAAGACCTCAGAATCCTTCTGGTCATGGCTCTGCGCGACCCGCCGCTTCCTGTTCAGCCACTTGGCCAGCCAGCAGCCCCACGAGCTCTCGTCCAAGGGCAGCGACTTGGACAGGCCGCTGCCTGCCAGCAGCTTCACGTGCAGGCTGGCCAGCAGCGGGTGCGAGGAGGAGTCGTCTCTGCAAATCTCCTCCGCAAGGCCGCAAAGATCGTAGCCCTCGCGGACCTCCCGCAGGCCCAGCTCGACCCCGAACGAGCTGATGAAGTGACCCAGCTCAGCAAACTTCCAGCTGTGCTGGAGAGGGCCGAGGCGGGACAAGTCGGACTCGGGGACGTGACAAGGCACGGCTACATCCTCCTCTGTCAAGATCTCCCCGCTCCCTCGTTGCTTCCTCTCGAGCTCCTCGTAGAATCTCTTGGCTCTGCACTTGGGACAAGACCAGTTGCCCTCCGGAACCTCCTTCAGAGGAGGCCGCAGGCAGTGCATGTGCCATCCTCTGTCGCAATCGTCGCACAGCAGCATATCCTTCTCCATGTCGCTGCGCTTGCAGACATGGCATACAGGGTCCTCCTCTTCCCCATCATCTTCACCCGACGCTGATACAGAATCATTTGTGATCTCCCCACTCACGTCAGAGTCTGATCCAGCAACGTTGGGGAGGGAGGACGATGCTGACTCGTCTGGTCCCTTCTTGCTTCTCGACTTCGAAGGTGTCGACTGGTCGCAATGTTCACCGCTCTTCTTCTTCTTACTGTTGCTCTTGCTGTTGCCAGACCTCTTCTGCTGAAGTTTCTTCTTCTTTGATGGAGAGGACCTCACTGATGAGGGGGGGGACTCTGTGCTCCGGTGCATGGCAAAGAAATTCGTCTTCGTTCGTGTACGGGAGGTCCTTTGTCCGCGCTCACTTGCATCGAGATCGTTCTGCTCTCCATCCTTGGTAGCATCTTTCAGCGCTCCATTGGAACCATCTCGCTGGGCATGTTTCAAGTCGTCTGTTTCCTCCTTCTTCTCGCCATCTCCCCCTGCTGCTCGCCCTCGTTTCGCCATACCTTACTCCCTTTGCCGTTGCGGTGCTGGTGGGTGATTGATGGGGGTGGGGGTGGTATGAACAATGAAGAAACAACACAAAAGTTGCTCATATAGAGGGTAGGGGTACTCACAGAAGGGGTGGTAAATTTAAAATTTTCAATTGGTGGGGTGGTTCCCTTTGTTGGTGGCTCGATGGCGTCAACATGAGGCGGGCATGGGATGACTGAACCCGCCTCAGAGCCACCGAAAGTGTGTCATGGAGGCCAAGTTCTCAGCAGGGAGGGAGGAAAGAGGAGGAGGAAGAGAGAAGGAGAGAGAAGGGAGAAGAGAGAAGGAGAGAGAAGGGAGAAGGGAGAAGGAGAGAGAAGGAAGAAGAGAGAAGGAGAGAGAAGGGGAAGCGAGAAGGAGAGAGAAGGGAGAAGAGAGAAGGAGAGAGAAGGGAGAAGAGAGAAGGAGAGAGAAGGAAGAAGAGAGAAGGAGAGAGGAGGGAAAGGGGAGAGGAGGAGGGAGGAGGGAGAAGAGAAGGAGAGAGGAGGGGAAGGAGAGAGAAGGAGGGAGAAGCGAGAAGGAGAGAGATAGAGATGAACAGAGTTTGAGAGAGATGCAAGGAAGAGACGATCGATGGAGTGCTCGCGCTCAACTTAGAGGCAACGACGAAGACGGGAAGAAGACGAGAACAGAACGCGAGATTGGATTTAGTTGGCTGGTACAATCATCGATGAGGGTGTAGCGAGCATTATAACATCGGCGAACTGACATTGATCTTAGCTGTTATCATCCCAGTTTGTATCAAAGATGCATTTATCACGACAGCTGGAAGTCAGCCGGTTGAGCTAGCAAGTCGATCAAGGGGCTGGCAAGTAGAGTCGGAGACTCCCCGGGGTCGTTGTCTTGACCCTCGGGTCTTGAAGCAGCGCAAGCATGAACGGGGGAGACACTGTGATCCCAGCCAGGCAAGGAAGAGAGAACCAGAGATACGACGAGGAGGGGAGGAGGCTGGTGGCGGGATGCATAGTTGTAAGAGAGGTGAGCAGGGAAAGGACTCAAGGACGTCGGGTGCTGAGGTGCTGCTGCTGTAGACGAGGGGCGAGAAAGAATGCCTCATGATATCGTCCACCAAGGATCCATCGAAGTTCATCTTTCCCAAAGGGTTCGTGTTGTTGTTGCTGCTGCTGCTGCTCATGATCATGATCATGATTATGATTATGGATCAAGATTGAGATCGAGATGAAGATGAAGCTGATGATGGAGATGATGATCATGCTGATGATAAGAAGGAGGATAGCTGTAATGATGTTCATGGTGATTGTGATGATGGAGGAGGTGGTGGAGGTGGTGGTGGTGACGTGAATCAATGACAGCGGTTGGGAGATTGACGAGACGTTGGAACAAGCTGCTGTGCGTGAAACCCTTGAGGTCTGAGATCCTCTCCTGGATCAAGGAAGTGACCAGAATCGAGCAGGAAGCTGGTGTCGTCGTCAAGCTCGTTCGCAACTTGGGTAGCTGCTCCTGACGTGGAAAAAGCGGGGAAACAAACTCTGATACGGGGACTGTAGGTTGGTTCTTGTATGACAGTAAGAAAGGAGAGGACAAGAACAACACGGCGAACGCTTCCCCCAAGGTCTTGGCCGTGACGATCACTGTTTGTTGTTCATCAAATGAGGATGTGGCAGGTTTGTTTCTTCCAAGCCACCTGCGTTGAAGAGCGTGCTGTATGGTAGGAGATCTGGAGGAAGACGAGGAGAATGGAGGAGAAAAGGACATGATGAAGACTACAGGGCAGAGGGGAACAGGCAGAGGCACTGGGTACCTGTCAAGGAGGCGTCCGGCATCTGCAAGCACAAGTAGGAGAAGAGCAGCTGGGTCATAGCTGACGACTCAGCAGGTTTATGCTGAGTGCTCTGGAGCACGTCACATAGAAGAGAACCCATCATGGTCTGCAAGAGGGAAAGCAAAGGGCAGGCTGGTGGAGAGAGGGGGGGAGGGAGGGGGAGTGGGAGGTGATATCACGGTGGCATACACGCAACAAGACACAGGACTTGCTTTTCGGAAGGAACTTTTAATGAAATAGCTTGACACAACAACTTTTAGTCCATGATCAAATGGTTCGTTCCTCCTGGGACCCCGCTCTCCCCTATATCATCGTCAGAAACATCTGCCTCCTTCTTCGTCCTTCTCTGTTGTCCTTCTCTCCTCCCTCCTCCGTCTCACCTGACACTTCTGTGCGCAGGACCTTGAGTTTGAACGCCAGGATCTTCCGTAGATCGCGGAACATGTTGGCTTGCTCGAGGTTCACGTCGTGATTCTCCTTCACCAGCTTCTGCGTCTCTCGCAGTTTCTGCGCAACGTCTCAGCATCTTTCTCCTCCTCCTCCTCTACCAGGCAATATTCCGACAGCCACCTCCACGATCCTCCTCCTCACCTTGGACAAGTTCTCCTGCTGTTGGATGCGACTTTGGTAGAGCTCTCTATACGACTGTCCTGCGTCTCCGATGCGGTTCTTACCTGCAGCATGCATTCAGCTCCGCACGGCAGGACAGAAATGAGTCACCTTGCTCTTCGAGGCGCGCCCTATCCAACGTGATCTTGGTAGAGTTGATCATGGCATTGAGGTAGTGGAACCTTCCATACAACTTCATCACGTCGTCCTCGACCTCCCTCACTTCTCACCTGCTCTCTTCCCTCTTGCAGTCTTCGTAGTACGCCGTCACTTCAGTGAGCAGCTTGTCTCTCTCCGCATCCAGCCCTGGGAGGAGGCTTACAACGTGAACAGGGCAGCGTGGCTGCTTCATCACCGACTGCAGTGTTTTCATAGGTCTTCTTCTTGTCGTTGTACTCTGTCTCCAGCTGGGTGAAGTCAGCCCGTACTTGCCTCAACTCCTTGATGAGTGGAGCTGCAGAACAGTTGAGCGGCTTCGGTTCTCCTCCTCCTACCACTCACCCAAGACGTTTTTCTTCTCCTTGATCGTGTTGTTGATCTCAGTGACCCTCCTTGAGATCTCTTCCAGCGAGACTTCTTTCTCCTTGTTCACCTCCGCCGTCTTCTCCGAAACCTGTCGGAGTGGGGATCACTGGTGTTATCCGCCGATTCCTCCACGCACCTCCTCTAGCTTGCTCTGCAGATCGAACGCTCCTTCCACTCCCCGCTGGCGCTCGAGGGAGGCCAGGAACTCTGTCTGGTCTCCGTGCCGGGTCTTCAGGATGTCCTCCGTCCTAGCAAGAATTCCTCTCTCCGCAACGATGCTTGACAGCTCTCCTTTCTTCTTCTTGAACACCTGCCACCACGGCACATCAGCCACGAGAGCTCACATGGCGCCGCTCTCCGCACCTTCACTTTGCCCTTGAGGCTTTCTCCGTACTTGAGCAGGTCGTCTCCCTGGCACACCGCGGTCAGCTTGAGACGGAGCGACATCTCCGCACCTTGAGAATGTCGACCGGCTTGTGACCCATCTTCTCCCTCTTCTCGTTCAGCTCCTTCTCTGCGTCCTTCAGCTCCTCCTTCAACATCTGCAGTCGCTCCATCGCATCGGCCTTCTTTCGGCTCACGAGGAGCGCCTGGTTTCTGAACATTGAGAGCTTGTCATCGCCTGTTTTCTGCGTCCTCCGCTGCCTCTCCTGTAGCTCCTCTATCGCCATGTTCAGTTGATGGATCTCACTCTGCTCGCGCTCGATGTCCCTGTCTGTCACAGGCGGCCTGTTGAGCACCTGTTGCACCTGCACAAGACGTGTTTCTTTCTGCTTGATGTCCTCTGGCAGCTTGCCTTTGCAGTAGTTTTGAGTCATCTCCACGTCCTCTTTGAGCTTTTGAAGGAGTTCTTCTCCGCTGCTGTTGTTCGAAGCTGCCAACTGAAGGTCTTGCAGCTTCTTCTTGGCTTGGAAGTAACGGTTCTCCTCTTGCTTGAGACTCATCTCACGCTCCATCAGCTGCTCAGCAAGCTTCACCTCAACCTCCTGCTCTTTCCTCAGCTTTGACGTCACTTCGTAGAGTTCGTTGAAGTTCTCGTTCTTCTTCAGGCGCTGCTCTAACTTGTTGATCTTCGTCTTGAGCTGGCTTTTCTCTTCCTCCAACTGTGAAACCTCTCGCTTCAACTCGGTCGGCTGCAAACTCGTGCCTCGGATCCGCTCAGTTTCCTTGTGAGTGATCTTGAACTGCTCCTGGAGATCTTTATACTGCTGAAACTTCTCCATGATATCAGGATCGGCGAACATCTCTTCCGGGACATCAATGGGAGTCAAGAACTTTGCAAGGTAGGCTCTCTTGCGAAGATCCGGAAGTTTAGAGAGGATGTGAGATAGCAGAGGGTAGAACAATTCTCTATCTCCAGACTGCAAACTGTTCTGGAGTTGTTGAGGATCACCCTGATAGTCAAACTTGAGGATCGCAAACGTCCTGAAGATTCTCATTGCTGTATTTTCAATCCCCTCATTCCTTACATCGACGTCGTGTTCCGAGGACAAGTTTTTAAGAACATCATTCAGCAGCTCCAACAGCTCTGTGGGCGATTTCTCGTCGAATGTTACAAGGGACAAGTCCTCCTCGAAGCCATACTCGCGGAGTCGATCCACAATGAAGTAAGTATCGTGCTGACCTGACGACATGTTTTCCGTGTGCGTATATGTAGCTCTTCGACTCTGTGGCCAACACGTCTGTTTCTATTCACCTCTTCCTTCCTCCGATTTCATCTTCCTCCTCTTCCTCCTCTTCCTTCTTTCCTTCGGCCACTGCAACCAGTTGGCATGGCTGTGCGTTGGAGACTGCCTGTCCCTGACTACCCCTGCCTTGTACAGCAATCAAAGGGGTAGAGTACCCCTCTCAATTCAAATGGCGTGTAACGTTGTTATAACGAATTTCGAAACCGTTGTAACGTCATGTTGTACGGTTGTAGGTATTTGAAAAGCGTTATCATTGCAACGGTATCAACATTCCCAATATCCGTTTCAGACATGCAACGGTCGTTGCGTGGCGAAGGGGCATGGCCGGACTTGTTGTATAGAAGGCACTAGAGGGAATGAGGGGAGCAAATGGAGAGAGAGCAGGAGAGGTAGGAGAGGAGAGGATCGAAGAAAACCATGGAGATGACAAGAATCATCAATGAATGAGGAGGGTAGTTGACTCCTTGGCCTCCTTGTAGTGTCAGGTCATGAGAAAGTGCATTTTGTATGGAGCATGCGCTGCAGTAGTAGGGTTGTTGAAGCATATTTAGGTATACGGGAACTGATGATGGTGTTGATGTGTAAAGAAAGAAGACCCATTGCAAAGATGAAATGTCAGAGGCTAAACAATGCCATGATATCTTGTATGCACTGTCGATTTGAATGATGCGTTTTATTAGAAAGCATCACTACTATTTGGACATGTGATTGATGTCACTCAAAATGAATGTGCGCATGGTGTTTTTGCAACAATGATCAGATATTTCCATGTTTGCCAAAACCATTCCTTGGTGTTGATGGCTACTTTTTGTATGTTTTCTCCAAGTCATTTTTGAACGTGACGTCACAGTTCAGGGGATATGGAAGGGCTCTAGTCGCTGCAATCTTGGAGATCTCTGTAACATGACTGGTCGTCACATCTCGATCTTGCTGTCGCTCGGATCGGTTGCTTTATTGTTTCTTGTTCTCTCTACATTTCATCGAAACTCGTCTCCATCTTCTGACCTTGGTCACAATGAAATCAGCCAATTGACACCAGAGGAAACACGTCTGCGTGATCAGAAAATTGTGAAAGCAAGAGAAAATCAGCTTTTGCACACGATTCGTGATCTGAAACATGTAATGAAACGCCAAATACAGAAAATCGGAACGACGGAGCCTGAAGCAAAAGGGAAAGCGGAGGGATTGAAGAATGATCTCGAGCTGATTGACCATGCTATGTCAAAGTTGCGCAACATTGACCATGTGAGAGGTGAAATCGCATGATTGCATGTGTTGACCGTCGTGTTGCAGCTCAAACGAAAGACGATCCAAATGAGCCAATCAGCGTCTGATGAAAGCAAGCTTGACAAGGAGGCTGAGAAATATGACAAGAAAGCCAGAGCAGACCTGATGAAGTCTCAAAAATATCAGAAGCTGGCGGCAGGCGATGACAGAACATATCAACACATCATGAAAACAGCAGAAGCCTTCGATAAAAAGCTACGGAATGCGATGAGAAAGGTTGAACATGACACCCACAAATCGCTGCCAAGCAAGCAGGCAGCGATCGTCAACCCGCCTGCACTGCATCGCGCACCTGAAGTGAGAATAATGCCATGCTTGTTATTTTCGACGACTGATCGAAACAAGGTTCACAAAAGTGCCGTGAAGGCCGGACAGAAATTACAGAGTAGCGATGATTTGAAGATCGAACAGGCTCTGAAGGAGGTTTTGTGATTGCACGGTTTTATCCATTCCTATCTTGACTCTTTCAATAGGCTGATATCTTCAACAAGTTTGTGCGTCGAAAACTGTCTAGAGAATCGGGATCCACCGCTCACAAGCAAGGGACGCAAATCAACATCTTGCAATGGGCTAAGGCATCAGGTGTGTAGGTGTGGAGCTGCAAGCCCTCGAATAACATCTTGAGTTAGAAGCAGCCACACGGGGAGACTGGGCAACGGTGCATCACTTCTGCTCTCAGCAAAAAGACGCCGCAGCTTGCAGGTCCATGAGACGCGAAGTCCCGTTTCATGCATCCTCTGATCCCACCCGTGCAGGAAAGCGCTTTCAAGGCAAACTTCGTCGTCACCATGCGATCCGCTCAAGGTCTGCATCTTTACACTTACCGACTTTAAGTTGGTACTGATTGGTTTGCGTCAGCCTGGCTACATGAAATGTTTGGGAATTCGAGCAACTGGCGCGCCGTTAACATGAGAACTATCTCTGATAGACCGTCGCAAGCATGACAAAATGATTAGCAGTCTCGGCGTTACATCTTCTCGTTCCTTGTCCTTGTCGCACTGTACACCGTTGAACTAAGAGTCTCGCCAGTCGCGTACCTGGTCAGTGCGACTCACTGACCAGACTGAGAACCGTTCTAAAGTTCCGGCGGCTAGTCACGCCGCCCAGCCTTTACCGCACGGCCGCGACCGGCGGCCCGCCCGGGCCGCCCCGGTCCTGGTGACTCTCTGCTGTCCCCCTTTCAGTGAGTACTGGGTACCGTACTTCCTGGCATCATGGCGCGGCGCGGCTGAGACGGTATCCCCCCCCGATCTCGGGGCGGGCTTGACACTGAAGGGGTGGGTGTTTCAATTTACTACGAGTCTGCGACTGCCACTGCAACGGTTGATTATGCCACGTCACGTGGGAGCGGTCTGTTTGCCTCCAAAGTGATAGGTAGAGTCCGCACCGGGGCCCCCCGAAGGTACCCGCCATCAGCCCATAAAGCGGGGTGGTGGGCCCGGGGGTGGGAGTTCGCGAGGGGTCTTATTTCTGGGGGCCGCCGTCGTTATATGATAGGCGCCGGAGATATACAACAGGTCACAGACTAGAGGTATAAACTACCCCCACCCATAAAGAAACGGTGTGAACATGGGGTACAGACAGACAGTTTCTCCGTGCCTACCACCTGCTTCATGAGCAGGGGGTCGTTTCTATTATTACTTTTATATCCCCTCCGGAATCAGTGACCCCACCCTTCAAATTTGGAACGACCCCTACTACCCCCAGTTGTATCCAACCAAACTTCAGGTCACCCCTACTTGAGCTTGAAGAGTACCCCCCCAATCCCCTCTCCTGCATTTGTTGGGGAGCTGACCACCCCAGTTTTGCGGACGCAGAAAAAACCACCCGTCATCATAGATACTCTTCCGTATATCGATTTCGCTTCCATTGCTTCCATCCCTGCCTCCCTCAAATCTTCGCTGATAACCCTTCCTCTCCCTTCAAGCTCCCTTCTGCACACCTTCTCGTCTCTTTGAGCCTTCTGCATTCCTTTTCCTCTGCAGTACCTCCCTCCTGCTAGCGTTTTCTCTTTGTAGTAGTACTCGCTCTTTCAAAGGCTTTGTCCAGGCTATAAAATGCCCAGGTATCAACCAAACCATCAGAATGGTAATCGTGAGCAAGTAAGTCGCAATTTACAACCTGATTCTGTGAATGACTGCTTTTGGTCAAGGACTGGGCCAGAGAATTGTTTGACGTCGGACTAGCTTTGCCTCCCCGAGATCCTCCAAAAGCAAATGCAGCTCATAGCACGGGAGGAACGTCAAAAGCAAATACCGCTCATAGCACGGGAGGAACTTCGAAAGCAAGTAGGCAAGACTTCACGGACGTCAGGGATCGATTGATTCAGCAGACCAGCAACTTTGTCAATGCTATTAACAAGCTAAGGGTAATCGACCCAAAACGAAGACAGCCACAAGACGTGCTCGAGGACCAAGACAAGAATCGGGACAAACATAGATGCCAGACCAAGGTCTTGTTGTTGGGAGATGGCCAGCAAGTGTGGGCAATCCTTTCCTCTTCTCATGGAGTGTCCATTGGACGATCTTCAAAGAATGATATCGTACTGGACAAAACTCACAAAACCGTCTCCAAGTTCCATGCTAGGATCCAATGGTGTCCCGGTGTAAACCAGTCAGCAGGATTCTTCGAGCTGCTGGACGAGTCCGCAACTGGGAGCTCAGTGAACGACATGTATCTCAGCAACTCGTCCGCGAAATTGAAGAAGGGCGATCTTATCTTCCTGGGTGGCAAAGAGAGCGGAAAGAAACTTGATGTCATAGGTAGATTGCTCACGATGCATTGTTCGATCTTGACGCTGCGCAGGAGTATTCGAAGAGAAAACGGCCTCGAAGATTGAAGGTACAGATTTCGACTCTTCCCGCTTTTAGGATCTGATTGTGCTTCTTTTCGAAGGTCAATCGAATCTTGAGAAGAATACCATGAGAGATCACTCATATACAACGGAATTCTCTACGAAAGCAAACCAGAATGTTGTGCACAAAGACCAGAGAGACACATCCTCATGGATATGGTTCAAAGAATCTGACGGGTACAGAGGACAGTCTGAGAGCATACTCAGCAGTTTGAGCCAGGAGAGCACTCCCCGCCAGGAATTTATTCAGGTGCATCATCATGTCTGGAACGCTCCGCACAATGAGAATGACTCCTTGACACAGACGAATGGAAGCGTACCACCTATCAAGAAAGAATTCAAGAAAATAAGGTTTGCTTGATCGTTTGCTTTCTTTGTTTCTTACTCTACTCGAATCAGTAATGATCCCCTGCCTATCAACAGCCTCCTTCCGGTCCAACTCACGCCGTCGTATGTAAAGAGACATGGATTACACTCTTAGAACTGGAAATCTTGTGAATACAATTGGAATTTATAGTGGAATCATCATTTTTTTTTGCTGTTCTTTTGAAGTGCAAGAGTTTTGTTCTTCTTGGCAAATGCCAGCTTTGGTTTGAGCGGCTTCCCATTACTGAAATAGGTGGCCTATTTAGACAAAAGTTACGCCAGGAGACGATGGATCCTCAAACAAACCTTCTTAGTTCCTCCGACCTTCATAGTCCTCCAGCCATTACTGCTTGGATTGTTTCGAACCACCGTGCTCGATCGATTCCCGCAAGTTTCCATCGAAAATTCTCGTTCAAGATAGGTCTTCGAGCCTTGGGCATCATTGCTCGAACTGCTCTGGCCCTGCGATGAAGTGGGGATAAGTGTAGAAAAATTGCTGCAGCCCATGGTCAAGGCCGCCCTGTTGATGTTCTTCCAGACTTCTCTGGCGGCTTCAATCTTGCCGGACACGGAGTTTTCCTTGTATTCATTTTGAGTATCTTGAGGTTTTGAGTTCGAGCTGACACCGCACCATCCGTCCAGTGTTCCTGTCTTTGAAGACCCCCCTCCCTTGCTGGCCACCCTCCAGCCAACCTGCATCCTGGAACCTGTTTGGGCAGTGATGCCTTGGCTCCAGCAGCCCTCAATAGCCCGCAGCACTACCTATCATGTCTGAAGTAAGTTTATATCTACTTTCACCATCTCTGGCACTCAAGGGTGTACAAAAAGTGAGATGTAATGGTTGAATCCGTTGTATACAATTTTTGTGCGAGACAGTTTAAGTGTAAGTTAACATGATCATCACGCCGTCAGACATTTGATTGATCGACATGAAAAATTTGCTTCGACCCAATCTAGATCTTGTTCGATCTTTTCGTCACATTTCAAAGCATGATCTTCTTGAATATGCCATTCATTGTTGCGTCAATCAGTTCAAATCATCAACATTTGATGCGTAATTCAAACAGTATTGATATGTCAATCTATCTCCCTGCATTGAATTGGTATCATTCTCATCCTCTGGAAGAATATCATCTATTTGTTTTTCATTTTTCTGTAAATCTGCTTCGACCCCATCTAGATCTTGTTCGATCTTTTCGTCACATTTCAAAGCATGATCTTCTTGAATATGCCATTCATTGTTGCGTCAATCAGTTCAAATCATCAACATTTGATGCGTAATTCAAACAGTATTGATATGTCAATCTATCTCCCTGCATTGAATTGGTATCATTCTCATCCTCTGGAAGAATATCATCTATTTGTTTTTCATTTTTCTGTAAATCTTTTCTTAAGTCATCACACAAGTTTCCTTCTTGAACAACTGTAGTGTGGAAGCACCAACATCGGCACAAACCGACAAAATGATCATCTACAGTTGTTCTACGCATCCTGACATACCCAATATGCCATCTCTACATCCCGCTCCTCGTTCCTCTCCCTTCCGATGTGGCGCCATGGCGGGAAATAATCAACATGGGACATAGAGGGGATGAGGGATTGACGGCGCAAGGCGGAGTGAAAAAGATTTTAAATAGGAGGGGTGGTGCTTCGGGAAGAGTGAGATCGAGATATGGGGTCATACACACCAGAAATACTATGTGAAGATATAAGTAAATGGACTTATGGTGATAGGTATGCGATTTTACTGACCACATTGCTCTTCGTGACAAAACGGTGCAGGTGAAAGAAGGGTGGGGGCTGGGGCTGGGTGGTAAAGTCACAATCAGAATGGGGTCCATGACTGGAAAAAAGGGGGTAGGGCTCTACCAAGATATGGGTTACATCCAGTAGGGGTAGGGGTGGTTTATTGGTTGTAAATTTGTGGAAAAATGAGGGGTAATTACAAATATGCATGGGGGTAGGGGTGTACATATACGGGGTGGTAAAATGGGGTAGTGGACTGCTCTAATGGAACCCCGAGATCATGGCAGGCCTGGAGTAAACAGGGTTTGGGGAAGCGAAAGATGTCAGGAGAGGAACGCAAGGAGGGAGCAGGAGGGGAGGGGGGATGAAATGATAGCATGGAGGGGGAAGGGGGACAAAGAACAGGGGAGAGAAAGTGCAGGAGAGTGATGATAGGGAATTGGTGATAGAGGGCTGAAAATGTAGTGGCCGGCAAGAAGAGAAGAAAAGCACACTGAGGCATGAATACTTGACGTAGACTGGTGGAGGCTGGGGGTGAAATGGGAACGGACGAGGAGAGTGTTGTTGGAGCCTGTAACGGAACGCATGACATGAACGAATGGGAAACGACTGACAGTGATTGGCAGATTGAGTCAAGAAAGTTTGACGCCTGGGGATGTAAATGATTAGCCGTGTACAGACATTTGTTGCGCAACAGACATCAGAGTTCTGGAAATAATCTTTTCAGCATTGCCGCAGAGAATCTTTGAGAATCTTTTGCAGGCAACAGGTTATTGGGGAGTCGAACATGGTTTAGACTTAACCTGGTTTGACTCACCATCGCGAGCATCGCAACATCTCAAATGTCGAAGCGAGCTGGTATCGGTCTTGGGCTTGCAGAGCCCAATCTCGTCGTGCAGTATGTTGTCAACGGCGGGTCAGCAGCAGAGTCGAAGTTCTTTGACAAAGGAGATAGACTTATCGCTGTAGACAGGTAGCCTTTGTTGCTTGCTGCGGACGTTGTGAGGGGGGGTTGGCTGTGCTGTGTTGTTGTGCAGGCGTTCGAGGTGCTTGAGCCTCTGATTCTCCTTGTTTCTCTCCTGCAGGAAGGACATTCAAGGGATGAGATTGAAGAACGTGGCAGGACTCATAGTTGGAGAGGAGGGGACGGAAGTCGAGATCACAGTATTGAAGCTTTCGACCGGGGAAGAGGAGTCGATCAAATTGATCAGGAGGGGAACAAATGCGAAGCCTGGCACTCCGGCATACGTGCCAAGACAGATTTCTCCGAGAGAGGAATCGAGCAAGGCCGAGATTCCAGCTCCAGCTCCAGCTCCAGCTCCAGCCCCTGCTCCTGCTCCTGCTCCCCTGCCCCCTCCGGAGAAGATCAGGATAGGAAAGGTTTTCTTTGAGCCTGCAGCTGGACACGAATTCCCTGCGGACACGTCATGGATGACACACACAGTCACGCTCAGGTGCGAGCACGCAGCTGCAACGATCAAGTACACGCTGGATGGGGTGGATCCATCGCCGGCCTCGCCGGACGGGCTGATCTATCAAGGAGGAGGCATCAAGGTGGATTGCTGCTGCTGCTGCGAGCTGTTGGGATCCTCTGATGATGCTCGTCCCCAGATCTCCAAGGACACGGTGGTGAGAGTCGTTGCCTTCGTGGAGGACAAGAACTCTCCGATGGGTTGGGCATGCTCAGGTTGGAATTATCACCTCTTCCTCTTGTTGTTCCCAGTCGCTCGTTTTTCTATCTCTTTCTGCTGCCTGCTCCTGGCCTCGTGTGTGCACCTCTGTCCCGATCCTCGTCCTCGAGTCCCATGGCTCCTCTGCTTGGACTGTCTCTGATCCTGTTGTGCTCTGCTCTCAGATGTCGCTGTGGCGGAATATCGCATCGCTCCGCCTCCTCCACCAATCAAAGCCGAGAGCCCCGTTCCTCCCGACCCTCCTCCACGACTTCCTTCTCTTCCTTTCAGTCCCGAGGATGCAGAAGAATCTGTGGAGAAGTCGGCCCTGCCTGCTGAGGATGGAGAAGGGACGGTGAGGACATGGCAGTGGAGGTTGGGAGCAGGGGATGAGCAGAAAGGAGACGCGAAAAATATAGAAAAGGAGGAGACGGAAAGGAGGAGATCAAATGAAGATGAGGGGTGGTCGACTGGTTTTCACTGCATCTTTAGGAGGAGGAAGTGGCCGGTGGTGATGTCGAAGAGAAAGTCGAGAAGCCAGAAGTCGTTCCCGTGCGTCGCTTGCTTCTCCTACTTTCTATCTGATTGGTTGTCTATAGAGTCAAACCAAAGACATCAAGAAGAGCCCGAGCCTGACGAGACATGTAAGCTGATACAATGCTCGTCTGTCCCGCTCCTCCCTCCCTGCTCTCTCATGTGCAGTTATTTTGCTCTCGATCTTTGTGACGTATGCTGTCCTGTGTGACCGGGTATTGTACTTTTGTTTTTATCCTACCTTCTTCTCCTACTCTGGTTGACTCTCGTTTACACATCCTGTCTTCAGTCCTCAAGCAACTACAGCCACATCAAGTCGAGATTGTTTGCAAGCACAATCTCGGTGGCAATGAAAGATGTCCGGTCGAGAAGCGTTCATGTCTTGTCGTCTTCGGTGCCAGATTTGAGAGAGGTAAATTCGATCATCATTTTTATCATCGCCATCACCATCACCACTATTCGCCTTCTTTTCTGTTGTCCTCGAATTTGTTTGTCTTGTATTTGTAAATTACATAACCAATTCCATCTTCATTTCCATAATCATGAAATGATAACGAGTTTTATGATGAATTTTTCCGCCATTTCATCGTGATTATTTTCTTTTGATATTGTTTGCCACCCTATAGTCAAATTTTCAATGATGCTTTCACTTTTTCAACTTGTGAATGACGCTTTCAAGTTTTCTTCATTCGTTTGCTTGCCCTCACTTTCAAATCTGATTGCGACATCTCACTTCAGGCCCTTCTCTCCCGCTGCAGCTCGACGAGGGTCAGCAACGAGGAGGCGGAGAGCTTGTGAGTGTTGAGACGAGGAGGATGCGAAGGCTGACAGCGCACGAGCAGATCGTTGACGAGCAGGAGGGCAACGGTCGACGCAACCAGCGTGACGAAGGGGGACAAGGTATCCTTCCTCCTCGTCCTCCTCGTCCTCGTCCTCGTCCCCCCCCCCCTCCTCCTCCTCCTCCCTATCTACCTCCTCCCCCTCCTCCACCTCCACCACCTCCTCAACATGTTCTCGTTCTCCTCATCCTCCGCCACCACGATCCTTCTGCATTTCCTGCTCATAGTCCGTCAACTTGCTCGTCTCTCTCCCTCGACCTCTTGTCATGCTCCTTTTCTCGAAGCTGAGCGATCCTTTCAAGGTGCTGAGGAGCTTCAGAGAGAAGGCAGCGAGCGAGATCGCTTCCTCCATCCCCCTGTCACTTTTGCATGGCCTGGACCCGGAGCAGGAGGAAAACCGCAGGAGGGCTCTGAAAATTGCAAGCAAGTCCAGCTTTCCTCGGTACGAGCCCTCCGAGACTCCCTCCCTTTCTTCTCCTCTGGTTTATCCTCTCTGTCCCTCCTTCAGCTGCTCTTCTCGTTCCTCCCTCTGTCATGTTTTCTCCTTGCCTTCTGTCCTACAGGGGCCCCTCCCTATTTCCCTTCTTTGCTTGCTAGCTCGCTCGCTGGCTCGCTCGCTCCCTTCCCCCTAACCATCATTCCAGGGCAAGCTCTGGCCCTGAGATCCACAAGAAGTCAGTCATTCAAAGTTCCCCCAAACTCTCCCGAACGCGGTGAAGCCTCAGCCAGCAGCTTTGCCTGCTCCCTTCACACCCTCACCCTCCCTGCCTGTCCCTCGTTGATTGATTGCCCGCATGTGTTTGATGTTGCGATCGACCTCATTGTTGTGCTCCTGACCTTTTTACAGGAAACTCTCACAACTGGAACTTTTGTCGTCTCAGGTGAATATGCTTCCTTCTTTTTCTCTCCATTTCTCTTGCTGTTCTTGTGATTGTTCTGCTATCAACTGAGGCTTTTCCCCTTTTCGTGTCTCATCATTCCATTAGGTTCAAGCGTCACACAGCTTTTCTCTGCGCCTTCCCGTTCTTAACCAGGTTTTGTCTTGCCTCTTTCCTCCCTGTCCTGTTCTTTCCTTTTCCCTTCCTCTCTTCCTCCCTCCTGCTCTCAACCCGCTTCCTCCCCTGAACTGTTAGCAGACTCTGCCAAAGAGGGGGAAGGAGCCCAACTCTTTATTTCTGCTTGAGGGGAAAGGCGCGCACGCGCAACTGTAGCATGCGGAGGAGAGGGAGGAGGCGTAGGGTTGTACATATAAGATTCTTTGAACACGATGAAGATCGTCATGCACGTTGGAGAAGGACGATACAGGAGGTGGAGATGAATGTTCATGTAGAGAAGAACAGTCGTCCTTCCAAACCTAGCAGAATCTCGCCGTGTCTTGCGTGACTACACAGAGAGATGCTGTTTTCCTCCTATTCGCTGGTTGGTCCCAGACCTTCAGTGTTCGAGCAGACAGATGCTGATTACAGACTGCAAGCTCCCGTCATTTTCATCCTCGCCCCCCCGCCCCCGTCCCCTTCCTCTCCTCATCTGACCCACTGGACCATCTCATCCCCCTCCTCCTCCTCTACAAATCATCAACACTGGCATAATCCTGTCACCTTGTGATGCCCATTGAAGGAGCAGATCGCTTCCCCCTGCGCGACGTTCCAACTTCGAGCCGAATTATCTGACGATCCTGACCAGATTTTAGTTCCTTTCCCTCTCCTCTCCCCACAACTCCCGCCCATACACACATCCAATCTCCATTTCCCTTCTCCTTCCCTCTCCCTCCCATTCCCCCTTCCTCTTCACCATCTTCACCCTCCTCCTCTTCTGCAACACCCACCCGTGAAGAGAAAGTTGGAGTCTCCTGAAAACTCAACGTCCCATACCCACCTGATCGTTCAACGTGACAAGAAGCAAACAGCAATTTAACGAGGGTCTCCTCTCTCCCTCTCCCCTTCCTCCTCTCCCCCTATCGTCTCTCCTATGTCATCCCTCATCCCTTGAGACGCCATCAAAACCACACACAACCATGTAGCTGTTTGCTAACAGCACATGTCTTTCCTCAGCCTCTGTCCACCACCTCCTCCTCCTCTTCCTCCTCCTCTGTCCCCCTCTCCTCTCATCCCAACTTCCTCCACCATCGCTTCACCTCTGGTGAGCACTCAGGGTGTGCACGTGCTCGAAGCTGGGTAGCGACCAAATCTTGGCCGTGTTGTCACCTGCCCCCGTCGCCATGTACCTGCACACTCTCCTCACGTGCTGCCCAATGGTCGGAAAGCAAGACGAAGGCTCACTTGGAGTTGGAGCTGACGGCCGTCCGGAGGATAAAAGTCTTGTGCGCGTCTATCTGAACCAGCGGCTCCAAGCTCAGGTCACACGTTGTCTTCCTCTCCTCCCTTGGAGGCTCTTTCTTCTCCTCCTCCTTAGCCGTTACTTTTCCCTCTCCTCCCTCTCCCTCCTCCTCCTTTTCCCCCTCAGCCCCTTTGCTCTTCTGGTCCCCTGCATGGAACACATCACACTTCACACAAATTCCCCCCTCCTCCTCCTCCGCCCCCTGCTTCTGCTCCCTCCTCCTCCTCCCTCCCACCACTCCTCACCATTCGTTGCCTTCTCCCTGCTGCCGACTGTCGAGGACACAACAGGGTCAAGCCGCCACACGAAGCAAGTGCCATTGTTATTGGCTGCAACCAACATCTGACGGGGAGGAAATCAGGAGACGGGAGACAGGAATAGGAGGGAGACGAGGAGAGAGAAGAGCATAGCAGGAGAAAGAGCGATGGGTGGAGGAAGCGGCGGAGGATGTAGAAGAATTTCACGAGGGCAAGGAGGGAACAAGGTGTTGAGAAGACTCACGGAGCTATCAGGAGTTATGCTGCAGCTTCGTATCCCAACTTCAGCCTCAGGCACCTGAGTTTCCTCCTGTCACATCCCACAGAATCTCAACCCCCTCCACCCACCATCTCCCTCAGGCACTTCCTCGCCCGGACATCCCAGATTCGAATGTGCCCGTCGTTGTCCCCGGACACGACGATGTGCTGGCAGGGATGGAGGGCAAGGGAGCTGCATGGAGCTGCATGGCTGAAGTCGATGACCGACTTTCCTTGACGGAGGTCCCAGAACTTTACCAGGCAATCTTCTCCGCACGAGTAGAGGCCCGTCCCGAAGCTGTCGAAGACCACCGAAGTGACGTTCTTGGTATGCCCCATGAGCTCTGAAAGGTGGCCTGGAGACAGGATGAGTCTTCAATGCACCGCAGACTCTCCCCCCTCCCTCCCTTCCTCCCCATCCTCGTTCGCTCCCTCCCTCCCTCCCTCCCTCCCTCCCTCCCTCTCTCCTCTACCGTTGGACGCGAAGTCCGTCTTGTAGATGCGGATCAGAGGGTGGGCAGCAACAGCCAACCACTTCTTATTGGGTGAGACCCGCAGCAAGTTGATGTGGGAGTCTGCAGCAGGAGCTTCAGGAACGCAGAAGGAGGTTTCACGTTCAGCCATACCCGGGAACTGAAGGGTCCGAGCACAGGCGCCATTGTGAACGTCCCACAACTTGATGCTGTGATCGTAGCCCCCGGTGATCAAGAAGACGTTCTTGCTCTTAGTCATTCTTGTGTGTGCTATGACATGAACTGACGGGAGGTTTGACGGCTGAAGAAATCAACACAAATGAGTAGACGACCCCTATGGCTTGATCACTGTTATCTAATTCTTCAGCCACCTAGTTCCAACCTGATCTTTCACGTTTCTCCGTTCTTGTTCTCTCTCGATCTCGCTTTTCTGGGCATACCTCACCTGCCCTCCAATTTCATCCATGCCTGCCCTCTCTTTATATCTTTTTACGCTTTTTCTCTCCACCCTTCCTCTCTCCACGCCCCCCGTCCTCCACAGCGTCTGTCCTGTCCTGTCCTGCCATTGTCATGTCATATCCTGCCCTGCCCTGCCCGGCCCGGCCCTGCCCGGCCCTGCCCTGCCCTCTTCCTCCCATCTCCTTCCAACAAAAATTCCGCAGCAGGGCATCGAAGAGGAACGACATTGAAGATGAGAGGGGATGAGGGCGATGGTCATCGTATCCATAATTGGCTAAAACATTTGTATCGTTATTGAGTAATAGTTAAAAGGCGTGCTGGCCACCAGGGTAGTCCGCAATGTCCCCAGCCACTGGGAGGCAGGAGGTAGAGGGGGCAGAAGGAGGCGGGGGAGAGCAGCAGGGGCAGGAGCAAGACGTGCCCGCAGGAGGATCAGGAGACAAGCGAGACAAGACCCATGGCGGAGCAGAAGCTCACTGGTGGAGCAGAGTGAAAGACGCGCATGTGTCACGGAGGGGAGAGGGCGAGAGTTTGATATCCATCTTCAACGTGCCATGGCATCGGAGAATGCAAACAGCAGCCGTTGCTTCCTTCGTATATGCCCTCCCAGTCTCGCTCGGCTGTATGTGGTATGAAAGTAGATCTTCTCTTCAGATGTTTGTGATCGTTGGGTTGACCCGGGCCTGCATGCAGGACATCGCTTACGCTGATGTTCGCTCCTCTCGTCAACGTCTTCATGGCAGCGTACCTCGTCCACATCTTCCGAGACAAGTCTCCAACAACAGGATCAAAGAAGTCCGACTGGTTCCGTCGACTGAGGTGTCGCCTGCGCCTCACAGGAGGAGGGGGTCACTCACAGTGGTGATTGAGCAGCTGGTGGAAACATTTCGGCGAGTATTTCCCGATCTCGCTCATGTAAGTCAGAAATTCTCTCTCCTCGCACCTGCGATCTGCTGTGGTTGATTGTGGACGGCAGACCGACAGCCCAGCTCGACCCCGAGCAGAAGTACATTTTTGGGTACCATCCCCATGGGATCATCAGCTTTGGAGCGATCGCGACGTTCGGGACCGAGGGCGTCGGTTTCTCGGAGATCTTCAAGGGGATTGACGTGCACCTTGTGAGGAAGAGAGTTCCTCCCTCTTGTCAAGAGTGTGCTCTCCTCTTCCTCCTCCTCCTCCTCCTCCTCCTCCTCTTCCTCCTCGTCCTCCTCCCGCTCCTCCTCCTCCTCCCTTCTCTCCTCCTCCTTCTCTCTTCTCCCTCCTCCACCTTTTCCTTCTCACCATTACGACCACGACCACCACGACCAAGAGCATCTCTTTTTGTCTCGGATGATTTGTTCGCGGCCCAGGTCACCCTGCCAATCAACTTCAGGGTCCCTTTCTTGAGAGAAGTCTGGCTGAGGTAGAGCCTCGTGACCTCGCGCCAGTCCCCTCTGACTCGCGTCATCTGCGATCGCAGACTCGGGATTTGCGATTCTTCCAAGGAAACTTTCCGCAACATCCTCTCTAAGGGGAGCGGTAGCCCCTCCCTCCTGCCTCATTCCCTCCCGCCTCCTCATGGCAGTTTTGTGCCTCAGGGTCTGCGATAGCACTAGTTGTCGGTGGAGCAAATGAGTCCCTCTCAGCAGAACCAGGTGAAGACCCTTCACATTCTCCTCTTCCTCCTCTTCTCTTCCTTCTCCTGCTCACCCTCCTCTTCTCTTCCTTCTCCTTCTCACTCTCACCCAGGAACCATGGGAGATCTCACTCTCTGCAAACGACGAGGCTTTGTCCGTCAGGTCTGGATATCGGTGTCTATCTACGCTCGTGACATCATCACGTTGCAGGCGCTCTTGTACGATGCTTGTCTAGTCCCTGTCCTGGGGTTTGGTGAGACCGACGTGTTTGCGGTCTGTTCTTGTTGCCAATGGCCCAGCCAGTCACGGATGCCGCGCAGGTGGCGAAGTGGCCAGCTGTGAAGAGATTACAAGAGAAACTGCAGAAGACTATGGGGTTTGCCATGCCCATCTTCCATGGCCGGTCAGTCGCTAGGAGCTCACAAGCATGCTCCCTGACTTTACATGCCGACCAGAGGGATTTTTCAGAAGGCGTTCGGCCTGCTCCCGTGAGCACAAGTGCGCTTGCTGTCGTCCTGCTCCTGATCGCTCTCCTGTCTGTGCAGGTTCCGAAAGCCGATCCATGTTGTGGTGGGGCGACCGCTGAACTTGAAGGAGATCGACTCGCGTGCTCGAGAGGCGGCGGAGAAAGGTTGAAGCTGTTGGCGAGGATGGTCGGGAGGACAAGGAAGGGAAGAGAAGGGTGGGGTGGGGTGGAGACTGAGGCAATGGGAGGATAGTGAATGGGTGACTGTTGGAGGGTGGAGGAGAGAGGGAAATTTTCCTGTCTGTTGACTTATGGGATTGCAGGAGAGAAGTGGTTGTCGCAGGACCCAGAGGGGATGGAACTAGTCGAGCGATGCCATGCGGCCTACGTGAAGGTGGGCCTTCGACTAGAGTCTCCTCCTACCTGATGCTGAGCCAGGAGCTCCAACGGACTTATGATGATTTCAAAGATCTCATCTACTGCCATCGCACGTCCTCGATGCGGATCCGATGAGCCTGACTGCATGCTCCCCCTAGTGCAGTGAATGAAGTGCGATTGCAATTCTCTTCTCGAGTTCACTAGCAATGTTCTCTTGATTGTAATCAGTGTGAACCTTCAAGGAGAACGATCATTCTTGCTCGACGTTCATCGCTTCCAGGCCTGCAGCACCTCATCATACAAGGTAGACATGCATCTTTGACATGTACAGCGGAAGTGCATCGCTAGCGAGGCCTCCTCCTCCTCCATGTAAATCCTCTCCGTCACTGACATCTTGTTCTTCCTGCACTGCAACTTCACATCCTCATGCTCAATCTCTCCACCGCTGACCTCATCAGCGCAACCATCCGATCCTTCTCATCTCCCACCCACTTCCTTCTCCTGCAGCCCGCAGGTATGAGACCTTCATGCGAGCAGCCTTGAAGTGCCCCTGCGCTCAACCAACCTGTCGCGCCATTGCCTCGGCGTTCCATGCAGGAAGACCTTGAGGGCTCGATCTCTCCGATGCTCCTGCATGCCCGACAGATCTGACGGGCGCGCATGTCAGCCGGAACGAACGCGTTGTCACTGCCATCACTCTCTATAATCTCAGGATGCGTTAGGTATGCTCCCCGGCTGTTCAGTCCCGCGTCCACGTAGTGAACCTGAGGGGTTTCTCACGCAGGCAGAGACAGACGCAGCTACAGCACTCGATGCACACCTCGTCTATCAGCACTCGCTTCTCCGAATCGTCTTGGCTGCAGCGAGCATTTGAGGTGAACAAAGGAACTTGCCTGTGCACGGACCTGTTTCCATTGCTCATATCCCCATCTTCCTGGAGCTGGAGCTCAGATGAAGACGACTTGGCTGTCCCTGCAGACAACTCCGCAAGCATCTGCATCATCATTCACATGAATCCTCTACATCAGGACTTGTGAGCTGACCTGATTCAGAACTACCCCTCCTTTGCTGAACCCCACGAGTACGGTTCGTCCTAGGTCGCAGAGCTCTTTCTCGATCTCTGGGACCGAGCGCATCGTCGATCGCAGCAAAGAGGAAAGCTGTAGCAGCGCCTTCCCTTGCTGTGCATAACCTTTCGTCTGCAAGCCATCCTCTTGTTAGCCGTGTATCCTGGGGAAAGAAGGTTCATACCGGCTCTCCCGACCTTGTCGATTCCATGAAGTTGTCAAAGCAGGACCAGACTCCGTCCTGATTTGCAAAACAATCAAGTCAGTCAAGTCAGTCCATGAGGTAAGATAATCACATGTACCTGAACGCGGGTCGGCTCAATCACAAACACGTTGACGCACTCGTTCCCAACAGTAAAGTTCTGAGATCCTCTCGCAGGGCTCTTGAACTTTTCTTGCAGCAGCGCGATGATGTTCTCAGGCTTGCTTAGCCTTAGAATGTCTTCGTCATCTGCTGTAAGAGCAAGAATCATCATGATTGATAATACTGAATGAACCATCGAACGAACTAACGATAAACGGACAGATCAGTAGAACTGATCACTTGCTACATTGCAGGGCCGTACACGTGCGCATCGGGCCGGTATCAAAGAGATTATAGCACTTGCAGCACGCTCATTGCAGGATCATCAAAGGACGAGTGCCGTGAGAATAGATAGGGCGAGTACCTGTAGCACTGTTGGCAATGTCGTCACACTCTGACGGAACGAGGGCGACGAGTCAGTCATCGAGCCACCAAGACAGGTAAGACATCACTGTCTCCTCCGAAGAACACCACAGTTGATGCCGGTGTGTTGGACTTAATCGAGTACCATACCTGCCATCGCAGTCACGGCAGAACAATCCCCTGCCCGGTCCCCACCATGTCTGTTCCAAAAGTTCCTCTCGCCCTCATACTTCCCGCAGCCTCCACACGGACTTGCTTGATGGATCTCGCATGCACGCGCGTGCTGCTCTCGCTCATCCCCCGCATGCTGCCCATCATCGCCGCCATCATCGCTGCCGCTGCTCCTCCGATCCTCATCGCCCACGCAGCATTGTGGAATGCGCTTTGCGATCCCTGGCCAGGGCTACAACTTGAGTCCCTGCCCGGCCCGAGGCAGGCCCGGCCCCGAGTGAATCTGTAACCGCTAATAACGTCTCTTGGTCCTACCGTTACCTATTCTCAACGGTTGCGACCAAACCTCGAGCAGCCATGACGCTGAAGCGTGAAAGGTGAGGAGAGGAGACGGGGCGAGGAAGAGGGAGGGACAGAGGAAGACGAAGTCGAGGAGATGCACTGGTGTGCGCCTGCATGCGTGTGTTGGTGGAGGACGAAGAGGGATGGGGCCAGTGGATCGAAGGATGGGGAAGGAGGGAAGGCAAACGTTGGAAAGGGGGGATAGGTGGGGAGGGGTGTCAAAGGAAGGGGGAAAGACGGAGGGGATGTTGAAAGAGGGGCTGAAAACTTAATTCTGACCGTCGATTCAACTTCTCCGCTCCATCCTTGTCGAAAAGCTCTATGCAAATAATAGTCCTGTCTGCTCTGATTTGCGTGGTCTGTTGTGCTTTATGTATCTCCAAGATGTTCTGGAGATGCGCATGCATATTGTGCATGATGATTGAGTTCTGGAGCTGCTCATCCACACCTGTGAATTAGTCCGACCGGCTCACGATGGAATGTTCAGGGTTTTCGCCCTGGCCAAGGGTATGCGCGGAAAGAGCAAGAACTGTTTCAAGGTTGCTATTGGTCAAGTGCAAGAGGCTTTAGAGCATCAGGTGATGTCATTTCGTGTCTGTCGTCTTTGTCGTCTACCTTCGACGCTTCTGCGCTGACAGCAGCATTCAGTACGTCCACCGCAAGCTGATTAAGCGCGACACGCGGTCCTTGTGGATACAGAGGATAAACGCGGCGTCGAGAGAGCACGGGATGAAGTATGCAGAATTCATCCATGGCATGAAACTCGCCAACGTGGAGCTCAATCGCAAGGCAAGTCGATCACACAAGTTCTGCGGGGAAAGCAGCAGCTGACCTGCTCCTATCAGGTCCTCTCTGACCTCGCAATCACGGAGCCTGCTGCCTTCCGGTGCCCTCGCTTCCTTGCTACCTCCTTCTTCCTGCTGACGTTGTGTGCAGGCTGGTGGCGGAGACCGCAAAGCAATCGCTCATAGAGAAGTATGCCGCTGCGAGGGAGCAGGTGATGCGAGAGCGCGAGGCCCAGAAGGAACAAAAGAAGTAAATGCTAGCTCAATGAATCTACTCCCCTCCTTCTCTAGCGTCTTCCCCCCCTCCTCTCTAGCGTCTTTAACTTCTCTGGACCATCTCCAGCTCCTTCCTCTACTCGTTTACGGAAGCGCAACCAACTGGTTGACTATGTTCTGATTCCTTGGGACTCCCTTGCCCCTCTCGCCTCCCCTCCCCTCCCCTCCCCTCCTCTCGCCTCCCCTCCCATCCCCTCCCATCCCCTCCTCTACGGGGTCTCGTTGCTCATCAGAAACCCTTGCCGCATTCCTGTCATCTTCCCCTTCCCTCTCTCCATCCTGATCCCTCCTTCTTTCCGTCCTGCCCCACTCGTGGTGAGTAAAAAATCTCCCCGATCCCCCCGGGGCCACCAGCCCGAGCGAGGGCGGCAGGGATCGTCGCATGGCGTTGAGCGACTGAACGACCGATCATGATGAAGCTCCTGCTCCTCCTCCTCACCGTCTCCTCACTCTGGCCCGCGCCATGCCCAGGTCTTCCTTGCATTTCGCTTCCTCCTCCCTCACGATCGATGGCCTGCCAGGGCTCCTGGTGCAGCGCCCGCTGCCATGGCGGACAAGCAGCATGTGGAGGGTAAGAGGAGGCAGACCCTGTGAGCTCCTGATGTCCATGCTGGAAGGGAGGCGGCATGGAGAGCGCCATCGCGCTGCGCATGTCGGGCGACGAGAACCACTCTTCGATGAGGATAACAGGGAAGGGAGACTCGATGAGGGAGTACAAGCTGCGGACGAAGGTGGCTAGGGGAGGGCAGCAGCTGGACGGGTGGACCACCGACCCGCTAGGAAGGAGCTTCGTCAACCCTCCTGTGTACAGGGCGTCGACCATCACATACCCATCAAGTGAGGAGGAGCGGAGGAGGAGGAGGAGGAGGAGGAGGAGGAGGAGGAAAGAGAGAAAAATCAGCATGACATTGCGGCAGTGAGCGCACTAAGGGAGGCACTCAAGGACTATCCTTTCCGTGTACGTCTTCTCTCCTTCGTCTTCTCTCCTTCGTCTTCTCTCCTTCCAGGAGCATTTCTTGCTGCGCCTCCTTCGCATTCCTCCTCTGTTGCTTCCCATTCCTGTCCTCCCTTACGCTACCTGCCAGGGCCTGTCGTACGGAAGGCATGGGACACCGACATCGTTCGCTCTGGAGGGTGAAGGAGGAAGCAGCAGAGGAGGATGAGGCGAGACTGACGGCGCCTGCAGAAGCTTTCGCTATCCTCGAAGGAGGAGACAACGCGTGCGTCGTCTCCTCAGGGCTGGCCGCCATCAACGCAGGTGCCCCGTCCTCCATCGCCCGCGCTCCAGTCATGTGCCGTGCTCATGCAGCGATCTTGGCGTTTGTCTCAGCAGGGGACCACATCCTCGTGAGCAAGGAGACTCTCTTCCTCCTCCTAGTGAGCGCTTCCCTTCCCCCAGGTCTCTGACGGCGTCTACGACCCCACCAGAGGCTTCTGTGACAAGTTCCTCAAGGTGAGCATGCGAGCAGCTGTTGCGTTCCAGCGGCTCACCGGGGCTGCCAGCGCTTCGGCGTCTCGACGACTTACTTTGACCCGCTGTCCACTGGAGAAGAGCTGGGGAACGCCATCCAGCCCAACACCAGGGTGAGATAAGCTCGCTCCCCCTCCAGGCGTCAAGGCCCGGCAGGTCCTCTTCCTCGAGAGCCCGAGCTCCCTGTCGTTCGAGATTCACGACTTTGAGGCTCTGACCCGGGTCCTGCTGCGGTTCCTGCTGGGGAGGTGCTGAGCGTTGACCCAGGTAGCGCGGGAAAGGAACGTGGTGGTGGTGGCGGACAACACCTACGGCCCTGGTCTGTTCAGGCCGATGGAATGGGGGGCGCATGTCAGCATCAACGCAGCGACAAAGTACATCAGTGAGTCCTCTTTCCTTTTGTATCAAGCCACCACACACACAAACCTCCTCCTCCTCCTCCTCCTTCTCCTCCTCCTCCTCCTCCTCCTCCTCCTCCTCCTCATCCTCCTCCTCTTCCTCCTCCTTTCATGGCATCTCTCTCTCCCTCCCTCTTCCCTTCGATCCTTCGTTCATAGCCTTCCTGCCCATGCTCCAGCTCTTCCGTTCCCACTCTTCTCAGCTCGGTGAGCAGGCGGGCACAGTGACGTCATGATCGGACTCCTGGCATGCTCGAAGGACACCTACCGAAGGGTCAAGAGGTCCGTCCAGGTGCTGCGGGATCAACTTGTCCATCCCCCCCCCCCCCTGCCGCCGCCCTCCTCTTCCTTCTCTTCCTCGCCTCCTTCCTCCTCCTCCCCGTAGTAGTCTCCTTCCTCGTCCTCTCCTGTAGTAGTCTCCTTCCTCGTCCTCGGGAGTCCTTCCTCCTCCCTCTCCCCTTTCATCCTCCTTACTCTTCTCCTCACATGCTATCAGCAACTTGGCTGTCCAGCAGGACCGGATGACTGCTACCTGGCGCTCAGGTTTAGACCCGCAGCCACCTTCCTGCTACGTCCAATTCCTGAACCAAATCTCACCTCCTCCTCCCCCTTCTCCTCGTCTTGCCCGTACTCGTCAGTCATCCTTCCCCATCGTCGTCGTTGCTCTCGTCCCCCCCTTCGTCCTTCCCCTCCTCCTCGCCGCGTCCTCTCACTGCCTGCAGAGGCTTCCGGACTCTGTCTGTGCGGATGAAAGCTCACGAGGAGGTACCTGAGCTTTCTCGACAACTGTCGCATGACGGAGGTGGGAAAGTCAGCCTTGACAGTCGCGCGATGGTTGTTGGATCGGGACGAAGTCGCTCGTGTGGTCCACCCAGGTCCGTCTCCTCCTCCTCCTCCTCCTCCTCCTCCTCCTCCTCCTCCTCCTCCTCCTCCTCCTCCTCCTCCTCCTCCTCCTCATCCTCCTCCTCCTCCTCCTTCAGTGAGCCACATGGGCTGACTTCCTTGCTACAAGCCCTTCCATCCCACCCTCAGCACCATCTCTGGCAGAAGTACTTCTCCGGCTCCTCTGGACTGTTCACCTTCCAGGTAGCAGTGAGATGGGCGAGATTCGAGCGCCGCTGATGCGACTCCCAGCTCAAGGACGTGTTTTCCCAAGAACAGGTCGACACTTTCTGCGACAGTCTCAGCTTGTTCGAGATCGGATACTCGTGGGGAGGGTGAGGGAACAGCTTGCTCCGAAAGAGTTGAAACACCTCGTTCCATCTTACTTCCCCGCTCTCACTCCTCTCTCTTTCTCGCACCTCCCGGCTGCTTCTCGCTCCTGTTCCTCCCCTCGCTATTATTGCCTCCCTGCTGTTTTCTCATCATTCTTCTCATTCTCTTCGTCGAACTTCTCTCTCCATCTCAATCTCATCCTTGATCAGGTACGAAAGTCTGGTGCTGCCATGCGACATTTCTTCAGTTCGGTCGGTCGTTCCTTGGGAGGTCAGTGCGGGTGCGAGATACAGGGCAACACGCTAGGGCAGCATTGTGAGGCAAGGAGAGTTGAGATGCAGTACAGGAGGAGGAAGGAGTTGGTGATCACAGTGAAGATGTGGAAAGCGAGGCCAAAGAGGATTACGATTGAAGGAAGAGATTCGATGTTTAGCTCCGTGGGCATTTGTCAGCCAATCTTCTCTGGCATCGTATAGCACAGTATGACATGACATGATATGATATGATATGATATGACATGACATGATATGATATGATATGATATGATATAATATGATATGATACGGTACGATGTAGTGTAGTATAGTCTGTTCCGCTACATTTGTTCTGCATACCTCAGTCTCGATCTCAATCTCTTGCGTCAGTATGGCGATGGTTACGGCGCGACAATCCGGTTGCACATCGGCTTAGAGGACGTGGAGGATCTGATTCAAGATCTGCAAAGAGCCTTCGAGGTAAAGCAATCTCATCTGCTCGTGAATGACTTCACAGTCGCAGATGATGGGAGCGCCGGGCAAGGAATGAGTCGAACATTTGAGCGAGCCGTGTTCATACTAGTTCTCTTGCTGATGCCGCACGACCGATGCGATCAATTCACCATTTGACTTCAAAAGTCAGTGAGACTTGTCAAGACTTGAGGTTGTAGCCCGACCCTCGTATGAGATTACATCTTGATCAGTTTAATCTCTTTGCAAGTCATGCCCCAGAGCGGTTTGAGCGGTTTGCCGCTCTGCTCGGTTCGGCTTACGACACTATCCTCATGCTCTATCGACAACTCTGGCATATAGACATGTTAATTGTACATTCCTCAAGCTTCTGAACCTCAACAATCATGCAAGGGCACTCGGTCTCAAGGCCGCGAACCTCGTGTTTACCTGCCAAGATTGTCATCGCGCGGCCCAGCTAGAGGAAACGAGCTCAATTCTTACCACCAAGGAGGGCTGCGGTATATCATCCTCCTCTATCGCATCGAAGGGCTCCAGGGAATATGCTTCGGCCTCTCCCTTGACGCTAGTTGTTTCTCCTCCCTTGCCCTCACACTGCTGGAACCCGTCGAAGCCTGGGAAGAACGAGAGGCAGCTCCGCTCGCTGTCCTTGCCCCTAACCTCCAGGATGTTCAATCGCTCATTCTCGTCCTGCTCGCTCATCTCAAACCCTTCTTGCGAGTTCCAATCGGTCCCGAAGAAATTATCAACTGCGTCGTCCCACAGCGACTTGGACGTGGACGAGTCATCCTTCATGTCGTATGCCTCCTCCTTGACCGAAACTGAAGCTTGAGTCGCTTGCTGGATAGTAGCCGTCGAGACAGAGCGAACCGTGTCCTGTACTACAGCTTTGACAGCAGCAGGATTTTGACATGAGCTGAGTGCAGGCTTTACGTCCGCTACAGAGATGCTGGGGAGGCCAAGCTGAGTACACTCAGCTTCATTTCGTGCTGTCAAAGTTCCAATCTTGTCGCCGAATGACTTCATTTGGTTACCTCGCCATGCGTAAGGCAACCAGCCATCATGAAATCGCCTGCAGACTCCAAGGAACTTATCCAGCGAGCAATCCATGGCGAAGCAAGGAAACTGTTTGCACAGGATCGCCCAGCTCTCCTTCAACTCTTTGAGCTGCTCTGGATCGTCGGGACTCTTCCAGACCCTGTTGCTGAAGAGGAAGAGCCCAGCTGCGCACTGGAAGTCAGCCGCCATCCAGCGCACTAGCATCACAACTCTTCACCTTTGGTGGGGTCGAACCGGCACGGTCGAGCTCCCTTCCTCCGGTCCCGCATCTTTGTGAACCCCTTCTTGTCCAAACACTTGGTGAACTCCACCTCGGACACGCCATGGCGACCACAATGGACGTCCTTCAGTCGCACACAGGAAGGGCAGCATTGCGCCAGCGCAGCGTACATGCTGTACGTCCCTGTCCTAGCGACCACGTCGTTTACGTTCATGGTGCTCTTTGAAACCTGCCAGCCTGATTCAGAGGAAGGAGAAGAGATGAGATGAACGAATCCCTCACCGCTGATGCGAAACACATACCGAGCAGCTTGTTCTCAGGAGATGCCATCGGCCTTACCATGCTTTCCAACTGTCACTTGCGGTCCGAAATCGTATCCACGGAAGTCAGATAAGGGGGAGGGATTTGCCACCACAAACGATCTGCGATGTTGCCGCACGTTTGATCTGAGCGCCAAGACTGCAAGTGCGCGAATAGATGAGAAGAGACAGTTTGCCGATGTGCCGGCCCAAGGGTCAGCCAGTGCCAGGCAACCAAAGAAGTCTCAAGTTGATGAGGAAGGTTGGTCTTGGGGGAGCAGGGAAGAGTTTTCTCTGATGCGATCAGTCGGAGGAGGAAGCAGGGGGAGAGCAGCACAGAGACGCCAAGAAGTTAGAGGATAAGAAGGTTGCGCGTAAGGGATGAAGAGTGTAAATACGCGAAAACCGCAGGGGAGGGGTCGCCCGGACGCAGGAGATTCCCCGGAGGAGGAGGATGCAACCCATTGCAGTTGATGGGGTGGGGTGAAGAAGCATGGGGTATAGGTCACCGGGTCAAGGGTGGGGTAGTGATAAAGGTAGGTGGGCGCCATTTTTTTCAATGGATTCCAGATCAAATGGTGGGTCAGTCTCAGGGCAATTGAAGGGTGGTGATGATCGAGGGTAGTTGGAGATTTAGTTGAATTGGAGCTAAAGGTGGAGGGTGGGTGGATGGGAGGGGTGGTCGGGGGGGGATTGGGGAAAGTGATCATTGAAAGGATGGACTTTCACATACTAAATAATTATTTTTGAATTGTAAAATTAATTTAAAGGGAAATAGTTCGATATTATGAGAGCCCCCTCGGACCCGGGGGCCTAGGAAGCTCGTAGGGGGGTAAACCAGCAAAATATTTCAAATGAATCCCTCAAATTTTGGCTTCAATATTGAATATTGCAAGAAGGGGTTCAATGGTCGCACACGTTCCCCCTCCAGTTCAGAACTGTATTTCCGCCAGAGGTTCCCATCTTCAAGGAGCCTTCAACCCCTACCTCCCTCCGGCCCCCCTGATCCCCTGCTGTTCTGCGGTCCGCGCTCAATGCCTTCTCTCTCAGTCAAACCCAATGAAGTTACGTCTCCTCGTCACTCCCGCAAAAAGAAGTCGGCCACCCACCCCCACCGCAAAACCGTTAGATCCGCCTCCCTCCAAAGATATAAAAGGCAAGTTTTAGGGTCAGCACTGGGGGATTTTAAAAAAGGACCCTACCGTGAGTGATCGGATCCGGAGCCGCGCCCGCCGGCGGCCCGGCCCGGCCAGGCTCCGAGACGGCGTCGGTCACTACTGAGTAAGTTTGGGGGACAGCAGTTCACGGTTGGCAGGATTAGGTTTGGTTCTCGGGCGGCTGTCTTTCTCAGGCTTCTCGCCGTTTTCAAGCCTCCTCGAGTCTCCTGATTGTCCTCGTACTGATCGGATCGGACTCCGCCGGATCTTGATGGAACGTATGCCAGCCGTGCCAGAGTCAGATAGCGCCGAGTTCACAAAAACTGAGTCTCCTGTAAACCAAGACGACTTACGTGTCGAGGCGTCACGGCATGGTGGGACGAAGAGGGGCCCTAAGTTCCTAGCCGTCTTGCTAAGGCGTCCTCTCATCATGGGGCCCGGCGCGGCATGTCACGGTCTGTCGGATGCTTGTTTTGTGTGCATTAAACTCGGTCTTGAGCAAAAACTGTCTTGTTACGGTAAGGTCGATCACGGTGATATCTGCGTGACTTTGGACTAGTACAAGTCTAACAAACTTGAACTTCGGAAGTTGTATTCCGTCCAGGCTTCAAGGTTCAACCGTTATGGGCCCGGCCCCGATATTCCGAAGAACTCAGACGGTGAAAGCTTGCGACAGCCGGGCCGGCGGAGCCTCGGAACGGTTGAACTGTCAACCCCAATCCCGGAGTCCTCAGTGCCACTGTGACTGCCGGGTAGGATACTGACTCAGGCTCGGTACTGTAGTCACTGACCCGCGGCGGCTTTACTCAGTTAGTAACCGGCGCGCGATGTCCGCCGCGGCCGCCCGGCAATGCACCGCGTGTCCGTCACCAGGCCGTGACGTGCTGGTAGGCCAGCCCGGCCCGGTGATCGTGATAACAGGCTACCGTACGGCGCGCAGGCCGGATTGGATCAAACCCCGGGAGTCCGAGCGGATCTATCCGATCATGAAAGTGGGCCGGGCCGCCGCCGGACTCGGACCGTCCGGCTGCGGCCTTTGGATGACCCACCCCCCACACCGTGACTGACAAGTCACTGTGACACCCCGCTGTTGACTGCCCGCCTGCGGGGGTGGCAGCCACGGTACTACGGTACGTAGTACCCACCCTACTGAGTGTCTGGCGCGCCATATCCCTGCAGCGGCGGCAGTATGTCGACACCACCCCTACCCCCGTGTCCTCTTCAGTCTGCGAATTGGCCACCCCATCTGTCTATTGAAAGTACCCCACCCCCTTATTACACTCCATGCAATATACTGATGATGGTTTTTGAAGGGAGGCTCATTTGGATTCTCGCAGATGAGTATTTCCTAACCTCCTCTTCACTATCTCATCTCTACATTTGAAACGTTTAGATCAATTTTGGGACAACTTCAAAGGATTTCACAGTTTCAATGCATCTTTGAGGAATTTTTTCTTCACTGAGGTCGTCAAAAATGAAGCAGCCTGGGAAGTAAAACAGCGGAAGATTGAGTGTTGGATGGCAGAGACGTCGCTATGATGAGAGTCAAAACCATGCTTGATTGATCTTACCCGATACAGGAGCGGGCAGATCGGCAGCTCAGTGAAGTTCGGACGCAAAAGGGCTGGTGGGCATGAGGACTATGCAGTGACAGGTCGCTTTACCGATCCTCGCTCCATCCTCCAGGTTCCAACTTCATCCTCCGCCCTTGCTCTGAAACAGGAATAATTCACTAGCAATGTACGTAGCATCAAGACCTCTCATGGTTTCCAGGTCGCACCGCCTGAGCAGTGCCCACCTATCGCTCGCTTACGATAAGAACGCGGAAATGATGCCCAGGCGAGAAGTCTGCACGAAAGATTCGGAAGTCCAGCTCCTGAATGGAAGTCTGGAGTTCCAGCCCAGACGTATTGCACTGACTCCTGACATGCTGGCCATCGCATGGGAGAATGGCGACCAAATAGTGGACTATATTCCTTTGCATGACATCGTTGGTGTGCAACGTGCTTCCATCGAGGACTGGGCAAAGCCAGAGGAGAGGGCTGAAGTCGAGTACTTTGACACCAACGCAAAGGTGCTGAGACGACAAGCAAAGCTGGTGGTCGAGTCCGGGCGTCCCCTGAGAGAGTTCAAAGTAAGCACAGCCAAGGACGGTAAGAATCGCCGGGCCCCAGGTGTGCTGGTGATCTGACGTTTGATGCCTGGCAGGGTACAACTCGGGCCATACCTACATCTTCCAGACTCGCTCAGAGTCCGAGTGTCAAGATTGGATCTCCACTATCACAGAATTAGCCGAGGTCGCATTGAAGAGATGGAAAAAGAAGCACAGGATCAAGAGGCTGCAGAATCGCCTTTCTCTCTTCTACAACTCCAAACGGATGCAAGTTGTTGTGGCTATTATGATAGCTTTGAACTTCGCTTCCACCGCTACCCTGTTGCAGATGAGGCCTGAGTTGAACGAAGAGCCATACGATCCACAAGTGTTGCAGTGGCTAGAACAGATCGATCAAATCTTCACGATTCTTTTCACCTTAGAGCTCCTTTTGAACATATCTGCGCATTGGTTCAAGAGCTTCGTAAGCAATGGCTGGAACTTGTTCGATGCTTTCATCATCACCATCTCTCTTGTAAGCTTGGGCCCCATACAGCTCCCGTTCTTCAAAGCTTTTCGTATCATGAGAGCATTCAGAATTCTTCGACTCTTTGGAAAGCTTCAATCTCTCAGGTTACTCACAAACGCATTGACCGCTTCTCTTATTCCTGTCGCAAATGCTATGCTGGTAAGAATTTGCGTTTCCACTGGCAGAAATCTAACAAGCGACCAGATTGCAGTGTTCGTGACGTCCATTTTCGCGGTCCTTGGCGTCAACTTTTTTTCAGAAAAAGATCCAGAGAATTGGAAAACGTTTCTAAAAGCAATGTTTGCACTCTTCCAAGCAGCGACGCTAGGTCTTCTCTATTGTTTACAGTGAGGGTTTCTTGATGCTGTTTCACCAGACAACTGGGCCGAGAAAGCACGAAAACTGTTCCGAGCAGACGGCACTATCGAGCCAGGGCCTGCACTGTTCTTCGTCTTCTTCCTTATCATTGTTGCTTTCACCCTCGTGCCGGTGGTAGTCGCAGTGCTGATCGACAATTTCACATCAGCCGTCCGCACTGAAAGAGAATCTCTGATGTCAGAAAAGCTGTCACGCTTGACTGCAGGTGTTGAGGCACATTCGCTAGACCCCCTGCTGCGGACCCTCATGAATTCGCAATCACAAGCAGACTTCAAGAAGCGAATTCAGAACATTTTCAAGAAGCTGGATATTGACAATTCGGGAGGACTCACACATCAGGAGGTATACGAAGGCTTGCGAAAGATGAATTTCATCCCACCCATCAAGATTTCGAATGAAGAATTTCGTTCCCTCACGCAAGATAAGAAGATGTGCAACGAGAAGGGAGAGCTAGACCTCCCAGCCTTCGAGAAAGTCATGATCCTCCAAATGAAGCTGTTCGCCGAGCGTCAACTTGGTCAGATGACAGTGACTGCTGATGATCACACCGCCATCATGATGCTGGGAATCAAAAGTTTATTATTTGCACAGCGTGACGATTCTGCGGAGGAAAAGGTCGAAACGAAGGCCAAAGATTCGAATTTCAAGAGGCTCGAGTCATCTGAAAGGAGGTCACCGATTTGCAAAGCCATCGAACCAAAGCGTGATCATTACAACTCTCCTGCTAATCGAAACAACATGATAGAGTTCTTGGACAACTGCTCCAACCTTGTCTACCAGTGCTTTCACGAGCTGGAGTCCAGCAGCGGCAGCTCAGACCATCATGCTCTGTCTCTGCATCTCCGAGCGTTGGAATCCATGATCAAGGCGCAGAAGAGGATGGTCTCAAGGATGAATACACCCACAGAGCTGCAGGAAGAGAGGATCGTACCGCTCACTGCCAGGACTGCTTCCTCCAATCCTTGGCCCTTCACACCAAGGAGACTGAGAGACAAGAGCTTGAGCCTCGAGACGGGGGTTGTTCGGACGTTCCGAGAGAACTTCCGCAGCAGGAGCAATCTCGACGTGCCCCTGGCATCTGCTCGCAGCGAGTTCAGACATGTGGCTGAACAAGCTGCGACTGATAGTGGGGAGGAAGTGCGATCTGCGCGCATGTCGAGGAGAAGTGCGAGCCTGGGGTCGATCGATCGCTCCAAGAAGCCGCAGCAAGGTGCCGAGGTGCTGCACCCGCAGGACCTGTTCGACTCCGATGTGTTGCGCGGGGAGCAAGAGTATGGCAATGCTCACCAGAGACCTCACGAGGATGAGGAACCTGAGGGTCGAGCGCGTGCTCAGGACTTGCCAAGGCAAGCTGTGCATGAAGTTGCCGACGACCATGCAGAAACCTCCGAGCCTCGGCGCCACCATAGCGAGAAGCATCAGCACAGCGGCAACGGCAACGATGTTCGTCCGTCGTCAAACGCAAAGGATGGCAGGCATTCTCGCTCTCCCAACTCTCGTCGAGCAAAGCCAGTGGAGGGCGCACACCCGCACCACTCTCGGATCTCGCTGGATGGGGAGAGAAGGGAGCCGCACAAGTTGAACGGGCAGCTGCAGGCCTGGCGAGATCGTCTCGGGCTCGTGGACATCCAAGAAAAAGAGTCAAAAGAGACCAAGATGAATCACCACAGGGAGAGAAAGAGCGTCGAGAGAGCACTAAACGACAGGCGTGCAGCAAGATTAGGTTTGTTTCGATGAGTTGCTGCTGCTGATGCCGGATGATGAGGATAATGATGACGATAGTGTTGATTTTGTTGATGAGGATGATGACGAAGATGCATTTTTGTTGATGATGAAGCAAGAGGAAAAGAGTAGAAGCAAACAACTGAAACCTTGTTTGTTTGAGCAGGAAGCAACGACATAGTTTACGTGGACGGCAATGGAGGTCCGTGATGACGTGTACATCAAGCATCATAAGATGACGTGATGGTTTGCAGCCGTACCTTAGAGCAAGGTACTCTCAATGAAGGTCAAGTCACTTTCATTGTCGAGCAGTCGGAAAGGCATCACCAAGTACAGTCAAACTTGCCTCCTGCCGCTCTGTGCACCATGTGCCTGGAGCATCGATATGCCCCGTCTTCGTTGCTCAGCTAGGAGGCCGAGCATTGACTTCAAGGATGGCATCTCCCCACCTTGACAGCGCTCGCTTCATCTCCTCCTCCACCAACTTGTGCACGGTGCGGAGTGAGTGGAGGATGCCGACGAAGCAGACGATCCTCATGACAAGGTGCCCGTACAGTGCGAACAAGTAGACGAGACTGAACTGCATGTTCCTCGCATCGTTCTGTGATGGAGGTCAAGGCGATGAGAACACGATCTCGAGTCACCTTGTAAGCATCGTAGATGACAGAGCAGAACCCGCCAATGCCAACGACTATCAGTCCACACATGAAGAAGTCGAAGATGCTGGACCATCTCGTCCCATGCCACTGTAAATCATAATCATCAAATACATCATCATCATCATCTACAACATCATCTACAACATCATCTACATCTATATCACAATCATCTTGAGCATCCAAGTGCACGTTGATCCTCGTTAGAGGGCACGGAGGTGATTTACCTGTGGAGTCCATTCGCAAGCACGATAGAGCCGATGTTCGATCCCCGTGGTGTAGGAGAGAAGACCGCCAAGAACGACCAGACACACACATGTGACTGTCGTCAGAACCTCCTGCACCTGCGCGCAGAATCAATCTCCCTCCTGCTCCATCTGACAGGCAGCAGTGGAACGTATCAAGACAGGCAGCAGTGGAACGTATCTGAGTCCATGTACGTCTGCCGATGGAGTGTGGAGCAGACAACGATTTGTTTGTATCCTTACCTTGTAAGAGTTGCAGTATTCTGCAAACGCCGTCCGCCGCAGGTTGTACTTGTAGCGGCAGGAGTCGCACTGATAGTACGATTGCGGGTTGTTGCTCACGGCTCGCCATCGGTTCAGACATGCGACATGGACGTACCGCATGCTCCCCCTGCTGCAGGTCAGAGCGGGCGAGTGAGAGGGGAGCAAGGGAGCTAACTTGACCTGCAGAGGCACGGAGAAAACAATCTTTGGTCGCCAGGCCCGTTGTGCTCGCCATGGCAGATGCGGCAAGTCGGAACTTCTTCGTCTGTCTGCGATGTTTGGGAGGTCTCTGCGGGCCGATATGGGGAGGAGAAGGAAGAGAGATTAGCAGGAGTGTATCCTCGTGGCTCAGGCATCGAGCCGGTCACGGAGTTGGCATAGTCAACCCGCTTCATCGCTAAAAAGACCGTCGGCGACTTGCTCACCCCGCTTCCCAGCAGAGTCTCCTCCTCGTCCAAGATTCGTCCGGCATGGACGAGTCGCTGGAGAGCTGCCGGACCGAATCCCTTCCCTTCCAGACGTCGCTTCATGATCCCAACTGTGTCCCACGTCCCAAGATCGAGGAGAGTCTCTTTTCCTGAAGCCAGTTCCTTCACCCTCACCTGTACCCTGCTCCCTCCATTGTTGTCCTCCATCTTCAACGTACTCCTGCACAGTAGTTGAGCAACAGGTTGGACTCATCTCTCTACTTTGTGAATCTTCCGCTTCTTCATCTTGCCTTCTCAAAGGGTTCTTGCATACTTTGCTCGCTCAAATGCTCACTGCTATTATCCGCCAACATGAGGCGGGCAAGTCAAAGAGCAGGATGGTTGCGTTGTTTCCTGCTTTCATCTCAACTTCCTCATCCAATCTCTGAGCCTCTTGCTCGCGTCTCCTCCTCGTATTTGGGGCTCTTCCCCTTCCCCTTCCCTTTCCACCTTCATCTTCATCTTCCTCTTCCTCTTCCTCTTTGCTACGCTGGCTTTGGAAGGGACATTGCTTGCACTCCAGCTGTAGGCCCTCGTCTCCACTCGTACCCTGCCCGGGCCGGGCGATTATCGGGCCCCCCAGGGGAGTCCGAGCCCCGGCGGCAGCCGGGCGATCGGATCATGCCACGGATCGGATCCCGGCGGGCGATCCCTGGGTCTGGGGCCCGGGGTGATCCGATCGGATCACTGCCACGGTGACTCGACCGTCGGCGACTGAGCCGCGGCCCGGCGCACCGTCGGACGCGGCTCCAGGCCCCGGTTCGGAGTCGGGGAGCGGCTGAGACTCCAACCACCGTAATGGAGACGGTGCCTAGTCCGATTTGACTCAGTAAAGCCTTTGAAGTCCGATCCCGGCCGGGCAGTTGATGGAACGTATGCCAGCCGTGCCAGTCAGATAGCGCCGAGTTAACAAAAACTCTCCTGTAAACCAAGACGACTTACGTGGCGAGGCGGCATGTAGTACATGGGATGAAGAGGGGACTTTCCTAGCCGTCTTGTTAAGGTCCTCTCATGTCTGGATGCTTGGGTTTCACATCCTAGCATACAGTCTATGTCTCATGTGCTCCTCAATACTGGTTTTGTGTGCATTAAACTCGGTCTTGAGCAAAAACTGTCTTGTTACAACTAAGGTCGATGTGATATCTGCGTGACTTTGGACTAGTACCGACCGACGTATAACTTGCCATCGGTTATGGGCCCCGATTAC